CTGTATTTTCATGATCTGTTCAATCCATATGCTTACTTTATTTGATGTTAATTACTAGCAGAAGAAGTCATTTCTTCTCATGTTTGCTTATTAATAATGAAGCATCACATTATCTGTTACAGATAATGACTACATTTGTTCATAATTTGTTCTTGCATAGTTACTAAGTTACTAAGGAAACACACTGTAAAGTGTTACAATGTCAGTTAATCAAATGTCTGATTTGACGCTACATTTGCAAGCAAAGGCAACTTTATCATCTCCTCTGTAGATTCAGTGAGATTCGTTCAGAGCTAGTTTAAGTTTTATTTTTCATTCTTTTGTAACGAGGTTCACCCTGAGAATTAGAATCCAGGCCTCTGACAATGGGAGACCAAGGCTTTACTGGGTGAATTACCAATTAGGGACAGAAGCAGACCTCTATTTTGCAGAGCACAAGAACAAAAAAAGAAGGGAAAACAAAATGACAAAAAAAAAGGAAGGCTCAAAATGGTAAGCCAAGCAACGGGAAGAAGGCTTAAACTACACTGAAGAGGAAAAACTGAGAATCACCCTATGCTAGGACCAAACCCAGGCCTTGAAGGTCATAGACTGGTATGGAGCTGAACTACTGCACAGCTTAAATAAGTGGGGCTGGCCAAAGGCTCGAGAAAGTTCAGTGTCTGAGCACTCGATGAAAAAAAAAAAAGCTGTCTGTAATTAGACCCCAACACAGATGTGATCAGTTGTCATTAAATACTAAGAGGTGGCACTAGGTCTGACCACAGGCAGAATGACAGGACTCCTGCCTGTGGCAGACCAAGAATGACCCCTCACAGGTAATGGACAGTAACATTTGCTAAAGACTGATTTGGAGGGCTAAGAAAATAAAAAGCAGTTAGGAATTCATGGACATGTATGTAATGAGCATGCATATAAGTGTAAGTGTGTGTGTGTGTGTGCACTCTAGCGTGTGAGTGTACAATACATTATCAGGAAAACAAGAAAAGTTGATTTTGCTGAGAAATTGAGTAGCTTTGCTAACACTCTGCCCTGAAGCTAAAGCAGGTGGTGCATGGTAGGACAAATACAGTCACCCTACAATGTATTTTACAAAGACAGTTGAAAAAAAAATCTGTGCATTAATGTTTATACCTCATAATTCCTCATAAATACTGCAAATGTAGACTTTTTGACCCCTTTTTGCTAGACAATGTTTTAAGTGACCTTTGTGTCGGACTACCATGCCGACAGAAAACACTTCTCTGTGTGGGCAGACCCTTGTTCACTGCCAAATTAAGCTGTTTGTTCCTTAGTGCAGCAGTGCACATTAGGCTTAGGTCACATGGTATCAGCTGGTATCAGATATTGGTATCAGAACATTTTTATGAGGTCATGTATGAGTAAATGAGCATGGTATCTGGCTGATAGCAGTATTGGTATTGATGCATCCCTAGTATTAATATTGACATAGAAGATATTACATATCATGACAGTATGATAACTCTAAACACAGGCCTACCATGTTCACCACCAGATTTGCATACCTGTGCCTCATCTACACTGTGTAGTACTTTCAGTATACCAACAAATTAAGGGTTGATTGTTCAATTGTTGATAAATTACTGTAGAATGTAACCTATAATTGGCATAGTAGACCACCATAATAGACCATCTTGTGGGCATAATCATTTATAGGTGATTTATGAAATTCTTATATGAGCATTAAAACCTTGCTTGTAAGGTACTAAAGTGCTAATACAAATACACAACACTGTGATTGTATGACTCTTGCTTATACAAAATGCTGCTTTCACCGCATATATATGTGCTCTACCTCAAAGGGATCTCCTGCACTGTCCAGGGAAATGATGAGGTCGATGTCTCGTTCTTTTCTCAGCATTGAGAAATAGGGTGAGTTGATTAACAGTCCAGCATCTATGTAATCTCTCATCTCTGAGCCAAGGACACTGGCATCAATGTCTTCCACTGATGACATAAATAAACAATGCAAATCTTATCAGGCTAATTATTTATTAACAATGTTGATTACTATCTATATAGCACTGATATTTAATGCGTTTTGCAATTAAATCGTTCATATTTGTATAAAAATTAATATATAAGTTCATTCTGAAATTGATGCCTGCAACACATTCCAAAAAATTTAAGACTAGGACCATGTTCAGAAAACTTCTTCAACAGGTGATGCACTCATGCTTGGATATAAAAGGAGCATCCAGGAAAGGCCTAGTCCTTTATGAGCAAGGATGAGCAGAAGCTCACCATTTTGCCAAAAATTAATCAGCAAAAAATCTAAGAGTTTAAACATAACGTTGCTTAGTCAGGGATTTTAGGTATTTCACCCTCTACAGTGCATAAAAACATCAAAAGATTCAGGGAATCTGGAAAAACTTAACGCTGAACACATTATGGAGCAACATGTGCTGCCTTCTAGACACAGTCTTTTCAGGGTCGTCCAAGGTCAACATGACAATGCCAAGCCACCTTCTGCATGTGTAATCAGAGAGTGGGTGCTAGATTGGCCTGCCTTCAGTCCAGAACTGTCCCCCACTGAAAACGCATGGCTCAAAATACATCAACAGCTGCAAAGCCGAATACATTTATAATAGAAGAATGGCAAAAAATTACTCCTTCAAAACCACATCAGTTTGTGTCTTCAGTTCCCAAATGATTATTAATTGCCATTAAAAGGAAGGTGATGCAGCACCGTGGAAAACATGCTCCTTTCCAAATTTTTTGGAATGTGTTACAGGCATGATATTTGGAATGAGTGTAAATTTACTAAAACAATTTCATGAGGTAAAGCTTAAAATAGTGTGTTTTTTTTCTGTTTGGTATTTTTTTTAACGCTTTTTCCCCTAATATGTTAAACTCAACTAATAAATAAACGAAAATTCTACTCTAAAAGTTACAGAAAAATGCAGATTTGTTACATCTGTTTCTTTTAGAGGAAGTGTGAACTTATTTTTACTTAAAAAATCAGTCATTTGATTGGAGGTGTTCAAACTGATGCATATGACTATGCATCTATTTCAGTCACGTGTTTTCATGCAGCCGACATATATATGACCCTTCAATGGGGGAACGTCTGTGGAGAATTAAAAGATTAAAAGAGAAGTACTGAAAAAAGCATGGCGTTCAAAAAACAGAAATAACTGATATTGATTCATGTTTAGTTCCTAGTTACTGATTTAAAGTCTTGGATAACACACTGTCTTGTTTTTCCTGTTCATACATGAACATTACTTTTCCATGGCTTCTCATGCTACACTTGCCTCTCCTGTAGCCTAAGCGTTAAAAGTAGCTAACTGATGCTGCTACTTCAGCTCTGAATGCATGACCAGTACAGAGTTAAAGAAGATAAAAAGCTGTATGAAAACAGGAGAGAAAATGAGTGATTTCATTACATAGATATAATGAAACTTGTGCCATTACATGGAAAAGCTAATGAGCTGTGTGGACCAGCCTGTGTGGCGATTGTGTTGATCTGTATTATTTGTTTTAAATGTTTTTCCACAGTAAATCTTAATGTTGAAATTACTGCTCAAATATGTAAGTAGTTAAACACTGTCATGTCAGTTAGCTTATGCAGGAATGCGGTAAAACTTCATTTCCATTTTCTGATGGCTGTTTTCACATAAAAATGTACAGCATGTTATTAATAAATAATGAAATCATAGTTTATTTCCCACCTGACATTCCATAGAGATAGTTGTATGTCCTTCCCCAGATTCAGTTCCATATGGTCTTCATTGAGCTAACAACAGCATTGCAAATGTCTCACAAAATAAGATAAAATAAAAATAAATTGACTCACAGTTCAAGACTTCAACTATGCTCTGCCTATTTTAGACAACAATAACTGGTAAAGTAATGAAACAGCTTCTCACAGCTGAGACACCAACATGAGGAAGAATCCTTTGTTTTATAGTGAATTACTGGCAGTACAGCTCCCAGTAGACTACTGTAAATCTACAGCTGAATTACTGTATTATAGAATTACAATATTATTTTATTTCTAGATACAGTTGACAATTGGTGCACACCCACAGCTATCTTGAGCATTGTTTCTTAATTCTGCTCCTGACGATGCAGAGTTTAAGTTCTATATAGAACCATGAACATTCAAAGAACCATTTCCATGATTAATGAGTTCCTGGCATCGTTCTTAAGATTGATGGAAAATCTGCGGTAGATGGTTCTATATAGATAATTTTTAAAAAGGGTTCTATCTAGCACCCAAAATGGTTCTATTGTTATGATGCCAGGCCTGTTCCAATGGAAGAACATTTTTGGTGCTTTTCAAAAAGGTTCTATATAGAACCATCTACAGCACATTCTCTAGTGAAGAACACTGTCATGATGCAAAAAAACATTAATCATGCAAAAGGTTCTTTGAGTGTTCATGGTTCTATATAGAACCATTGCCTTTAATAAAGAACCTATGAAGAACCATCATTTTTAAGTGTGTAGATGTCAACTTGACATCAAAATTGGCAAATGAAACCTTTATGGCAAAACCTATTTGAATAAGTATTTATAAATGTTTATGTATGTTTGTGTTAGATGTCATGAACAGTTTATGTTGGTGTTATATAGCCTTGTGAACTCTACCCTGCATTAAATGTTACCAACATTCATTTCAGCAGTTATTTGCACGCATATCAGTCTTAAAGGCTACAAAGCTTAACACAGCCAAATGTCTTTCGTATGAAAACATTACAGAATGAACTGCTTTAACTAAACACAAACCACAGTCGTGGCTGGAATATCAAAATATGTAAAATGCGTCTCTAGGGAAAGAATAATGTTATAAAAACTCATGTAAAAGAAACTATAGATGAAGGAATAAAGGCTAATTAACAGAAAAAAAATAAAGCACAAGGAATGCTGGGAAGCTCTGGCCTCAACAATAAAAAAAGCCAGGTTGTTCTTTCAATTTTCAGCTGAAATAAGTGCATTGTTTTACAAGTGCATCAGTAGGAAGGTCTACTCACCTTCCCAAATACATTGCCCCTTAAACCTGTCAGTGAGAAAATTGCATACACACAGGGCGTAGTCCTTTCTGACTTCCTCAGTTCCTCTAGAGGAAGAGTCAACTTTCCTATTTCATCAAATCCATCTAAAGAGAGAGATTTTTTTCAGTGTGTATTTAAGTGTATGGTCACTGTTGGGACAAATCATTGTATCTCCATTTTTATTTTCATGTTGTTAAAACAATTTCTGCTACACAATGTGTTTAAATTCCATGATTAAGCAATAAAAAGGTCCAAAATTACTTTATTTATTTATTTTTTTTAAGTTCTATTGTACGTTAATGCTGTTTCTTCCTTCTTCTGTAAACGTACTATTTTGGAGATACAAGGTGTTGTTCTATACAAGATACAAAGTTTCCATCCAAAGCAATATGGCGATGTGGACTATGGAAACAGAATTTATTCGTCATTTTTTATGAATTACCTGAGATGTGTAAAAACCTACACTGGAAGCATCTTTTTGGGAAAAAAATAACACATTTACGCATAAATTTAGTGTCATATAATAGCTTTCCCTCTCCTGGCTCTTACAACAAACTCAAACATGAACAGCATGGTAGAGAGGCAGAGGAGATGAGAATGCTGCCACTTTTCAGTTATTACAGAGACAAATGTCCAGAAAAGACTGACCATATTCTTTGTAAATGAAAAGTGGTCAAATAGCTGTCTATGACTGAAACACATTTCTTTGTCAGTTGACAGGAAGGTTAGGAAGGTCAAAGGTACACAAGTTGCGACATACATCAAATTAGAGGAATGTCAACCACAACTTTTTTTTACTGACAAACTAAAACTTATCTACAGTTGTTTATCCCTAAAAGTCAGTCTGATGGAATCAAGCTGTTGGGCAGCAATAATGCAAACATTTTTTTAAAATGCGTTTACATTTTGTCACAGTGTGCTACAATATATTTAGTTGTTCTTTGTCCTTTAACGTGGCGTAATGGTCTGGTGCACACCAGATACTATCATGCAAGCACCTAATACTATCAAGTGAGCACCAGATACTATGTGGTGAGCCCCTGATACTATGTGCTGAGAAAAAAACAAAATTTTATATATATATAGGAGTTTTCACGCAATTTATAGCGGACTATATCTAACAAAGGCAGAGCGTACATTTAGCTATATGTCATGCCTCCCTCCGGCTCAGCTGGACAACTACAGCTGACTCTGTTCCTTGCTCCCTCATGTGGCTTAGGACTGAACCAAATGCACCTATTCCCCCCCGTTCTGCCTCTCCAGACTTCTAATCATCTTCACCTGTTCCTTGTGTATTTAACCTGTCTGTTTGTATCAGTTCTCTGTGAAGTGTTGATGCCTTTTGCTGTGCTTATCAAGCCTTTTCTCATGTTAGTAAGTACCTTATCGTGTATGACCTGTTTTTTGTTTTCGACCCTGATTTTTGCCTTGTCCTTTTGCTCTGGCTTGAATCCCTGGTTTCTGAACTTATCACACCACTTTGTTAATAAAACTCTTAAAACTAGCCTGGACTGCAAGCGTCTGATTCAGTCTGCAACTGTACCACTATATCTATTTGAGAGGGACAAATTGGTAAATTATTAAGGTTATTATGGGTGACTGAACAAATAAACTTACCTTATCATCTTTAAGTCGCTTTATTTGTTCTTGTGCCATTGTGCGAATGTCTCGTGCGAAATCAACTTAAGCGCACTGTCAGGATTGCCAAAGGATGCTACTTTTTGGTGAAAGGAATTGCTGATGTTAAAACACATTTATTATACTTCTTTGCTTTACTTTTTATTTATTTTTTAGAACGTATTCAGAACTCCCTCACCTTTGGCTTGTGCCTTCAACCAAATCACTGTTATTTGTGACAACACACTTCCTCTAGTTTTATATTGCCTAAGAATATAACCTTTCATTAGGAGATTCGGGTAAGTTGTTGGATCCTCCTCTCTCAAGACACAAAGGTTGAGTTCCACAAGTGTTAAGAGCACCTGGCAACCTTTCTGCACATCTGCTGTTTGTGATGTAGGACTTTCTTGCATGTGTTCCAGCATTTCTAAAGCAAGAAACAAAAATCATGAAAGATATAAAGAAACAGATATGCACTTGGCAACAGTTCACAAAGATTTGCCAAACCAATAGCAATTTTTTCTTTTTTCACTTTAACACATTTCTTCATACCTCATATTTTTCATATTGTAGCATAAGTGAGTGGTTGACGGTGGTCCAGTGGTTTAAGATTGCAAAAGGCAAAAAGCCCCCAATAAGCCCACCTACATATAAGTAAACATTTGTTATGAATCTCTCTTTTTAGATAATCAATCAAGTTTTATGTAATTTTATTTAAAGAAACTGCTGAAATATAAAACAGAAAAGATGGAAAGTCTTTGCAGGCCCTTATATCAAGCCTTCTTGCATTCCTAATAGGCTCATAAGCATGTGTAATTGCTTATAAGCAGCTATAGCTGCTTGCATAACAATTTATAAAACAAGAGTATACCTTTATAATGTCAGGTTTCATAACACATTATAATATCTGTCCATTAGAACATTGCAAATGTGCATGCTGCCCTATAAGACACTATAATGAGGTTCTGGTATATGTTCTGCAGACCCAGGCAACATCAGGGAAATATCTGTTGGGTATAATCATCTCTGCCCCCAACAGCTATGGGAGACATTGGAGAAGATTCTGTATGGAGTGTGAGAATAAGGGCTGATTTTGGTGGACCTTTTTTCTAAATGTCTGCATAATTAGTTGGTTAGGTGGTGATGGGAACCAGACATCTTAAGCCTCTAAAAAGTCCCTCACAAAAAGCCATTACATGAAAAAAGTATGAAAACGTTACCCGATGTCTGAGACATCAGGGTTCACCACTGCTTTTGTGTTTAATAAAGAGCTTTTGTCTAAAGCGCAACATTGCCCGCATCTCCTTCTTTGTCAAGATGTCACATTTGGTGTCAGAAGTGGGATAGTGCCCACCAGCAAGAAGAAGAAGAAGAAGAAGAAGAATGAGCCCGGCTGAAGACTGCAGAGGAAAAAGCATTGTGGCAATGACGGACAGCGAAGATGGCAAAAGAGGCAGTGCAGCGAGGACTGGCGGCAGAGCCAGGAGGGAGGATGCTTGGACAGCAGACATTGTTTTGTATTGAATTCTCCTATACCACATACAATCTGTTTGATATGTTGTCCCATTTTATCAGTTTATGAGAAATGATCAAACAAGAAAAGAGCAAGTCAAATTACAATAATATATGGGTTAAGCAGATAAGTTCATGCTTTTGTAGAGGTCATTATCATTAATATCATTAATATCAATAATATCATTGCCTGATATTATTTTTGCAATGTTTTCTTGTTTTTCCAAATTACACCTTTGATTAATATTAGAGATATGTAACATGAGAATGTTTAAATGTTGTTTAAATGTGGTCAGACAGTAGCAACTTGAAAACAAAATAGAACATCAAATAGTGGCACAAAAAGACTGAATTTTTTTTTTTATTTATATGACATCTATAAGACTTTATTTTATAAATCTGTGAATAATACGTGAGTAACGTATTACGTTACCCATGGTTCATGTTGGGGTAGTGCTGGGCTGGGCATTTCTTGTCCAAAAAGAGTTGAAGTGCCTTTTTAAAATAAAAGAGCATTTGCCTGCACACGCAGTGTTTTCTGTGTCTTCTTCTATGCTAATGCTGCATTATCTTGTTTGCCTCTCAGAATTCTGAAATGGTTTGCTTTCTAAGACCACTTAAAGCGCAGTTTTCATTATGTGTTCAGGACAGTCCCTCCACATTAAACTCAGATCTTAAACTAAAAGATTTACATTGGCACAAAACTCACAGCATCAGGTACATTTTTTAAATACTTAAACTCTTTAAATATTTTACACTGAAAATTCAAGTGAGCTTATACAAGATGTGGTTTATTAGGGGCTTTTCCTTGTATGTTTGTTTCAAATTTTACATTCAGTTAAGGAAAAAATAAATGAGGAAGAGAGAGGTTCATACTTCTGATCAGCTCCCGTAGTGCCTTATAATTCTCATAAATGAATAACTCTATATCACCGAGCGCACTGCCACACAGGCCTACACAAATACAAAAAAGAACAATTGGTAAGATAACAACATTGAAAAAAACTTGATGAAAACAGATTTAAAACCAAATAGGACCACAGCCCATTACATAAACCCAGTATAGTCCAGATGTTTACAGTTCCCTCCTTGATAACCCCCAGCCAGGTCATATTTTTGCTGTAAATGTGTTTGGAAAGAAGCTGTAGCAAAAAATATGGAACAAATGGAACAAAATATAGACTGGCTTGGCATCCCTGAGGCTTTGGCAGCATGTTTTGCCATACAGAAAGCCATAATTTCTAAATCTACTTTGACCTGTATTTAAATGAAAACAGCACAAAGACAATATATTTAATGTTTTATCTTATCAGTTTCATTGTTTTTTGTACATATATGCTCATTCTGAAATTAATGCCTGCAACATATTCCAAAAAGGTGGGCCTGGAGCAATTTAAGGCTGGGAAAGTTGTTGAATATTCAGAAAAGAATTAAAATAGGTGATGTAATCATGCTTGGGTATAAAAGGAGCATTCAATTCCAAGTCCTTTATAAGCAGGGACGGTTCAGGACTTGCCACTTTGCCAACAAGTGCATCAGCAATAGTCCAACTGTTTAATGTTCTTCAACCAGTGTTTGCAAGAATTTTAGGCATTTCACCCTCTACAATGCGTAATAACAACAGAAGAAAAAAATCTCTGTGCATAAAGGGCAAGGCCAGAAATCACATCTGAAAGTATCAAGTTTTTGGAACATGTTGCACGCATCATATTTGAAATGAGCATATATTTACAAAAACATTGAATTAATAAAGTAAAATATCAAAATCATATCTTTGTACTGTTTTCAACTTAATACAGGTCAAAGAGAATGTACTAATGACTGTTTTCTATTTTTCTTAGCGTTTCACATTCTGTCCCAACTTTTGGAACTCGGTATAAAATCGTTACAAAATTTTAGGTCATTTGTTTCATCAGACCCGTGTTGTATGTAAATGAAAGCATTTATGTTTTCTTCCATTATTTATATGGACGAAATATATACTAGCAGTAAAATGGTTTGTACTGAAGAGCTTGGTGATTTTAAACATGGCACTATAATGCCTTTTTTTCCACAAGTGAGTTTATGAAATTTGTCCCATGCTAGATCAGCCCCAGTCAATTCTAAGTGCTATTATTGTGGAATAGAAGCTTCTACGAGCAACAACAGCTTACACAGTGGGGCTGCCAAGCGTTGAAGTGCATAGCCCATAAAAATGGCCTATCCTCTGTTGCTTCACTCACTACAGAGTTCCAAACTGCCAAGAGCTTCATGAAATGGTTTTTCAAGCAGGGCAAAGTGGCACTTACTATCTTCAAAGTGGGGCTTTGTGAGTAAAAAAATTGATTAGATAACTGATTAGTGATTAGATAACTGATTAGTGACTTGTTGCCAAAAATAATTGCTGTGCAATTCCAGATGGCATGTACTGTATGTAGTTCTTTGGAGGGTTTAGTGTGCAATTGGGGAAAAAAATGGAGTCTATAATACCCATTTTAAACGTTTACTCAGTGTAGTTGTTTTTAACAGAACATGTTACCTTGTAAGTACAACATGTCAGTCTCAGGCTGGTCTTCAATCTTCTTTCCATTTTCAAATTGACTTCCAAAACAGGAAGAATCCACAAAGGCTCCAGTGAGAGAATAACCTGACTCATCTGGAGTGATCTCAAACCAGACATCTACAGACAGAAATTACGGGATTCATTTTTTATTAATTTTTGACAAATATCAGGTATCAGAATCACCATCCTCTTTAAAATACAGACAAAAATGAATACATACAGTCAGGAAACATATATAATAAAATGAAAAGAGTCTAATAAAAAAATAAAAATACAGTTATTGTCACACCAATTGGGAAAGCAACCACATCACATGACCACAGCACCTTCTCCCAGTCTCTCTCGGAGTCATTATGTTCATTGGCAAACTTGAGGCGGGCCTGGACGTGAGCCTTCTTGAGCAGAGGAACCTGGCGTGCACTGCAGGATTTTAAACCATTACGTCTCAGTGTATTACCAATGGTTTTTTTGGAGACTGTGGTTCCAGCTGCCTTGAGATCATTAACCAGCTCCTCCCGTGTAGTTCTTGGCTGATTTTTAGCCTTTCTCATGATCAATGAGACTCCACAAGGTGATATCTTGCATGGAGCTCCAGGCCTAGGTCGATTGACAGTAATGTTGTACTTCTTCCACTTCCGAATAATTGCACCAACAGTTGTCACCTTCTCATCCAGCTTCTTACTTATGGCTTTGTAGCCCATTCCAGCCTTGTATAGGTCAACAATTTAGTCCCTGACATCTTTAGACAGCTCTTTAGTCTTGCCCATGGTGGAGATGTTGGAGTGTCACTGAATCTGTTGGCAGGTGGCCTTTTATACAGGTGACAATTTGGGACAGGTGTCTCTCATGCAGGTAACGACTTCACTGAAATTAGGGTGTGTCAGTGGTCTGTGGGGGCCAACATTAGTCAGATTTCAATTGGGAAAGCAACCACATCACATGCAGATATTGCAGGTGATTTAGCTTTATTTATTTTTTTATATAATATTAAGCAGTAGTCTGCTTAAAGAAAACAGCCATAAAGGAATAATAACCATTACTCATAAATATGCTATGAACAGTCAATCAACTTAAAGTCTCAAACTTTGTGTGGTGGTGGGACAGGCCCATAATACTTATCCATTCCATTCAATATCCATCCATGCATGTAACATGCACTTTAGTCAGGATAACGTGGCTTCCATCACTTTTATGGTGAAGGCAAAGCAAGGCAAATTTATAAAGGACATTTCTTACAAAATTATCAGCACCTTGAGTGAGGAAAGTCAAAGAGGCACCACTCGATTGTACTTTGAAGTAATGCCAAAAAAGGAATCATTCCTTGGGATAACAGTGCTTGTCACATTTAACCTCAGTTACACAGGATAACCAATGCACAGTTATACTTGTGCCTTATCCAAAACCGTAAGTGAGGAAGAACATCACTAAAAATAAAACCTCCAAAGGAATTGGGATAACAGTGTTAGCCTTTACCCCAAGAAAGTTAAACTTAGTTTAAGTAACATTTTCCACAATTATGTATAGAGTGTTGAATGAACAGTACATTTTATATATGAATAATTAGCGTAAAAAGTAGAAAGAATAGCATATTGCAAAATACAAATGCTTGAGAAAAAAGAAATGAAAAAAAGTTGAAAGTCTAGGCAAAAAAGTGTCAAAAAACTTTCTGTCCAAAGGGATAAAGCCAGGTCATTTTATGCTGACAGTCCAGAAAAGAGGAGTTTCACTGAAAATAATAAATAAAATGAGGACTTTTATTTTGAAAAACATCTTTCGGTAAAATGACATTGTAGTCCATATTAATATCATGTAAAACATGTATAGTTTACGAATGTTGATTTAAGCATTCATGAACGTGTTATAAAGTGTTTATAAAGTGTTTAGGTGATATGAATGTGTTATGTAGACACCCCTCAAAGAAAGTGTTACCGATATGGTGTGGTGTACGCTCTGTGTATACATTTAAAATTAATGAATTGATGAACTAGATTAGGCAACACTTTACCATAAGGGTACATGAAATAGCACTAATTCGTGCATTATTGTCTGTGTGAGTAATGATTATTTCATACATGTCATCACAAGTCATCATGAATATGAATAAGAAGTGACCATGTCTTATGCATACCTTAAGGCTGGAGCTATACATTAATTCAGGTAATAATTAAGGTACCAGTTTCATCAGTTACAATCAGTTATTCATGATGTTCATACAGGTCTTCATGACAGAATCAGCTCCTTAATTATGGAAAAAAAAAAAACTGAATGGTGAGCCTCCAGCTCATAAAATAGGAGTGTTAAATAATATATTTAGCATTACTATAGTATTACTTCTTCATGGGTTCATGATATCTGTGGCCCTCAAAATAAAGTGGTGAAATATTCCAACACTCCTTTGTGTTGCCGATGAAATGCCGAAAATAAGCATTTTGTATTTACTCAGAATATACATACCTCTGTGGAGGACATAAACTATTCACTTTAATACTGTGTGAGGTGGAATAAAACAATTAAAAATCAGCAGTCCACAGTGAGGGCCACACTGATGACCACGCCTTCCTTGAAAAATTGCTTTGTCTTTACCTCAAAATCAAACATAAAGGCAAAAAGCACACTCCTTGTGAGTGTAGCTCGGTGTGTTCGCTTATGGCTAACATATTAGCTGTAGGCTAGTCTTGACTTTAGGTTAACTAAAACTTTACTGTGTGTTTTGAGTAGTAACGTTGCCGTCTGCTAATGTTACCTGGTGTTATTATATTCCACATCGGTCCAGACCACTTAAAGTAACTGTCAGAGAGCTAACATTGCTGTCTAACATTAGATCGACTCAAATAAAAAAGAATCTTTTCAAGAATTAGTCATGGTGTGTCTTTGCTCTTGACTGATTTTATTTATATTTTAACATCTTTAAAACTAATCTTTACATCTTTATATTTATTCGGTTATCCTAATTCTGTTCAGCAGGATATACTTGTTAAGGTGGTGTTTTACATCCTATTTTATTCTGTCAATTTTTTAATTTAAAGTATGTTTAAAATTGTTTGGAGATTTGATTATTCTTTAAAAACTAATTATGGATCTTGGTTTCTTTATGATGACTGAAAATGTTATATGTTACCTATAACTTATCATATATACCTATAACTTATCACATAGGCTCAAAGGCCTTTGTGATGGTCTCATAGTGTTAATTTCTTGCTTAGAATCCAATCTAGTCCAGCAGAGCACAACTGTCCTTGATCTCTCTGGGTACGTAAGATGGTCCTCCTTTTCCCCATCACTCAACATGACGTTAGCCAGTGCAGGCATCTGTTAACTGATGGAACAGAACTAGCAGTTAGTGTTCTCCTCCAGCATGTTGAGCTGTCCAGTGATGTGGTATGAAAAGACATGGTGGAGCTTCACTTGTCCCAGAGGAAGCACATTCTAACCTTCAGCTTTCCCAGCTTGTAGTAACATGTGACAGGGGGAGACCTAGCTAGCAGGTGGAACTGAAGGACGTAATGCTTTAGTAAAGCTAAATATTACACCACTTTACTTTCAGGGCCACACTTATCATGAACCCATGAAAAAGTAATGCCAATATATAACTCAACACTGTTCTGTGAAGCAGTGGCTCAATCTTTTCCAGATCATGAAGACCTGTATGAACATCATGAATAATGTATTTTATTTGATGATATTGATACCTTAACAAGTCTCTGAATTAATATATTGCTCCTGTCTTAAGGCATTAATAAGACATGGTAACTTTATGCATCGTCATTATGACACAGGTATGGATTACTGATTACTTGTGCAAAAAATAATGCATGAATTAATTTTGTTTCATGTACCCTTACTGTAAAGTGTTGCCATAGGTTCTTTGAAATTAGTTTTTTTACCATACATCACAACCACTGAGACACGCATAAAAACACACACTCGCACATGTGATAAATTACCTGCATTCAAGTTGTCATGTTTACACTGCTTGTCAATCGCAGTGTAAATGGGATACGGGTCATTGGCATAGTTGCTCCTCTGCTCTGTAAGTTTGTGTTCATCGATCTGTGAAATACAGAAAATACAGATCTCTGTGTTTTAAAGCGTTAATGTATGTCATCATTATAGTCCTGATTTACTAAAATCCCAAATAAAGAATAATTTACAAAGAATAATGGCATAAATGATGACATCTGCAAAAAGATGGTAGGATGCTTTCGCTAAAGATTCTTGACGGTTTAGGTTTTTAATTTTTTCTGGTGTTGTTTTTCCTTGTTACATCTCAGTTGTCTCATTTTAGTTTATCATTTTCATTGTGCTACAAGAGCTAATCATGAGTGGATGTCTACTTCATAGAAAGCCAACCATTTGTGCTCAACGGCCTATAATTTAGTGATCTAGGTCTGCTTATAACATTGGTTATGTCAGTGTTATGTAGTATTGAAGTAAAGTGTTATAAAATAAACTTTACTACTGTTTTGCAGAGCAAAAGGGAACAATTAATATCATTTTTTAAAATTGTGTTATATAATTTTTTTTATGAAAGTATAAGGTATAAATCTGCAATGTTGGTATAAAGGTATAATTCTGCAATGTTGGTATAAAGGTATAAATCTGCAATGTTGGTATAAAGGTATAAATCTGCAATGTTGTGCAATATTCTTACCTCTTTCATCAAGTCAGACACAACCAGTGCTGCCCAGATATCTGTCAGGCTGAAGTTGTCTTTTTTCTTGTATTCTCTTAGTTTTTTAGCCCTCTCCCACCAACTGACTTTGCCTTCAACAAGCCTGTGGACGATGTTATCTTTTAGAGTCTTAAGTTTGGTGGACCAGTCTGGTTCTTTATATAATGACACCATGCACCTTCAAAGAACAGAAGAATGAGTGTTTTAATTCAACAACAAACATCTAAAATTCTGTTATATTGAAACAACTTGTCAGAATACAAAGCATGCTACAACTTTGGACAATAAATTGGATCTTCATGTAAATGTCTACAGAAAACAATATGTATGTGTGTGAGCATTGTGAAATATAATGTATTGAAAGTCAGGTTTATCCATGTGTGTCCATTAGGGGTGGGAATCTCTAGGCACCTCACGATTCGATTCGATTACGATTCAGAGGCTGCGATGTGATTATAAAACGATTATCGATGCATCTCAATGCATCTTTTTTTCTATAAAGGATTTCTACTTTCTCACTGTGTGAGGACTTGGTAGTTTTAAAGCAAAGTATTTGTAATGATCCATAATGCATTTACTGTGTCTTCGAGACGGGATGTGTGCAACACAGCACGAGAGCCCTGGTTTGCAACAACTGAGAACATAGCAACGAAGGCTCGCCGAGCGAGTAGCAAACAAAAAAGGAAAAGAGAAAGACAGACAAACATTTGAAGATGAATGGACTTATTCACACTTATAAGCAGCGCAGTTGGTTTCCTAGTACGTTAAATCTGCAACGAGAGACTGTCAAACACTAAATAGTTGCGAAGATGAAGTCGCTTCTCTTTCTAATTTTCCCGTTCCACCTTAAATAGCGCTGCATTTACGTTCTGGCACCTCAGTCAGAATTTAAGGTTGAACGGGAAAATTCGAACAAGAAGCTGTAGAATAAGAAGTGACTTCAGGCTCGTAAATCAGTCAAACTTTGAGAGACATTTTACAAGAAACTATTCAACTTTTGAGGAAAAGTTTTCTGGCGGAGATGGGAAGAAAAGCAGCTATAGCTTAAAGCAGAGCAAAGTAAATCTGCGCTCTCGTTTATATTGTTTAGCCTATACTAGGACGTACTGAGACATATTGGACATTAAATGTTGTGACTCCCAAGGTGATTTGATTTTTGTTGAAAGGACAAAATGGCTCTTCTTAACATTTGAGTTGTGACTCCCTCACGTCCGCATCGCGATGCATCTAAGAATCATTTTTTTCCCGCACCCCTAATGGCCATGAATTTAAGTATGTACTGAGTTCAGGATAAACATGAGAGGTGCTGTTTTTATGTGTTTATTTGTTTGTTTTTTTGGATTCTTTTTTTATATTTGCATATATCAACATTATACTTGATTTTTATGTGATTTAGTCTAAACATATGGACCTAAATAAGTAATTGACATATCTGGTATGGGTCAGTACCAGGTAGATCCTGAAACTCCACACAGGTACATGATGCAGTCCAGCAGTCTATCTTCTTTCAGCTGACTCAGTAATCCCAGCAGTCCAACCATAGCTCTCAAACCACCACCAGAGCCCAGCACTGCGATGTTAGGCACCTCATCCTGCCAACATTCAAACACAGATTCTAAATGCCTAAAACAAATAACAGCTGTGCTTCTGCTGCTTCACTAAACTAGAATAAATGCATTGCTAGATGTGTTTATATTGTATCAGGTTTTGAATAATCTCAAAGACTCAAAAACAAAACTAGAAGCACAATAGCATAGCATAGCTCTGTGTAGCACCACATAATGACAAATTAATACTTGGCCCGCAACACAGGATAATTAGACCAATTTTGTGAAACACAGTGTTGAGGTCATACATGAAGACTGTTAACCAATAAGAACCAAACTGAATGAAAGGATAAAAATCATTTTTTCCTAATTTTTTCCTAATCTACGTTGAAAAAAAGCTAACACTTTTCTGTAGGTCAAGTAAATAAGGCTACGTAAGCCTTTCATGACAGCTGACTTTTCAATGTCAAGTTGACAACACCTATATCAAGTGACACAGGTCTGACCTTTGTTGACCTTAAGTGTTCTTATAACACTTTTTGTGGTGTAATGACAGCATGTTATGACAGCTGACTTTTTATACCTAACTCATTTTTATAAGCATAAATTTTATAAGCATAAATATGACACTTTACTTAACAGAATGTCATAATAGAGTATCAGTATCAAAACCAATTTCGGTGTTACCACAAAGTGTCGGAGCCTGTTTTTGAAAGTGCTCACCTTTATTTGACTTTGCCACCAGTCTCACTTGTCAGGTAACATAACATCGCTGTCCAAAGAAAACCATGTATCTCCATTTTTATTTTTCTACATTATTTCAACACACCAGCCGTCCTTTACATTGTTTCAAAAAAAATTCATGATGAATGGACCAACAGAAATGCTCAAAAATCACAGAATAAAACCTCTTTACACTGAAATGTAAGAGTGTGTTTGCCATCTCCTGTAAAGTTGCTATTTTGGAAATACTTGTTTTTCTTTGGACAGTGACGATAATCAACATTATGTGTTTGACATACCTAAAACACACTGAACTACAAAATCAATCATCATAAAATGCTATGACATTTCACCCCAAAGTGTTGTGAAATGTCAGCAGGCCTGGATCATCCCATGGGTTTTATGGACATGTGCCCATAAAATCCATGGGATGAGCCACTAGGGAGCCTCCACGAGCAATACTAAACCAAATCTAAACAACTGTTTTGGCTCACGGTGGGAACCTTACTAGTGGCAAAACGAAAAAAGGGAACTAACTTGTCAGTGTGTTACTGCCGATCACAATCCTGACACTCACCACATCACGTCCATTTTCTGCTTCAATCACTGCTTAGAAACCGTTCCACTATCTGCCATTACTTTGGTTAAGCTCTAATGTTTTCTAGCAGTGAGCCAGTGTTCCTTTGAATGTACTTTGAATTTAAAGTTTCAATGCCCATTTCCAAAGCCAAGTATAAAATGTCAGCCTGAGTTAAAGAAAAAAGTTTCATCGTTCTTGCCTGTAGTGATCTGCAAACTGTCATCAAAGCTATGATATAAATGGGAAAAAAATACATTTTCATCTTCTTACGCTTTGACTTGGCTTTTAAGTTTGCTACTTTTTTCTGTCTTTATGTACATTTCAGCTGTCCAATTTTAATTTAAATCATCTGTATTTGGGTTAATGTGTTGCTTGTGAAGAGTGGACACATGCTTTATAAGGAAATGTTGCATTGGTTTTTTGGGTTTATGTTAACCTGTGCTCTCGGTAATGTGTGTGCAACCTTGCTATTGTTTTGTCTCGCCTTGAAAATAAATACGCTTAAAGCAGTTAGGTGCCCGACACTGCGGTTAGTGTGCTGCCATCGTGGTGCTGCATAGGCAACTTTACCTCACTACCTACCTCACTGCAGGATAAACCATGCTGCTTCAGGCACTGCAGAATGGTCTCCCTCCTTCTGGCCAAATGCTGCCTCTCTGCTTCATTCACAGAATGACCAGTTCTCACCTCGCTGCTGCACACATTGCACAGAATTAGTAGAACAGTTAATATTTTTCATTCATATAGAATATCTGCATGTGCTGAGGCCAGTCTTTTAGTGGTAGTTTTCCACAGCTGTAAAATGACTGACTAGCTTGACGGTATAGACTGAAACAAATTTCTTTTCTGGATTGAAAACAAGAAATGAACTGAAAAGAAGGGCTAGCTGTGGTCAGGTAGATAGAAGTGTGCATAAATATGTTGCAAAAAATTACATCACAACAGTATAATTTAGAATTTATTATTGCAATTTGTCTCCAGTTCTCAAACTGAAATTGAAAGTAAAAACTGGCAAAAATACCAGCTTATCATCTGACCCATCCCTGACAAAATGGGATGAAAAGAGCAAACATGAGAAGCACTGTTTACAAAATCAGTTATTAAAAATTACAAACAACATACTGTTTAATTGATGCTGCCATCTACTGTAATAATTCTGCAACACTAGAAAGCTGTGTTCGGTGTTCATGCTATGACATACTTACTCAATGTTATTTAGGAACACTTTACCACACTGCAGGACAGTATAAAGAAGTAAACAACAGAATCATCATATTAGGTTCTTACCTGCTTATGAATAAGGAAGTGAAACTTTTAGCAGAGCACTTTTGGAAATATACTGTTGGTTGAAAGACAAGTGACAACAATGGCATGGCTTTTATTATATTGACTATAAAATAGGTGGTAAACAAAAAAAAACAGTCAGTAATTACTCAACACAGATGGCTAACTGTCATAATGAAGAGTAAATTCAAAAGTAGAACACTGCCAAACTTGATTAATGTTAACTTCAGCATTAAACATCCAAGTCCAGAGAATGATTATGATTATGTTTTAATTGATGTTTTACAGACACTTTTATCTGCAAAGACGAGTGAAAAGTACATAAAGGTACGTGATTCAAAATGCATGAATCTCTAGCAGTTAAACAGATAAAGCACAACAACTTAAGAACATTTCTTTTTACTCTTTGGATCTACCTCCTATTCCAGCCCATTATCACAATGCACACCTGTAGAATCGATGGTTCATTTAGAGTGTATTAGCATTACCGTGCACTGTCATGACATCACTTTCCAGTGATGAGGTAGGTTGTTTATTAAGGGTATTGCCTTACTTCATTATTTAGATATACAACCCCATTTCCAAAAAAATTGGGATGCTGTGCAAAATGTAAATAAACATAGAATGCACTGACAACAAGCTGAGTGGTCTTTAGCCCAGAGGACATGGTGTCCATGATTTTCAAAAAGAATTTCAAATGTTGATTTGTCGGATCTCAGGACACTTTTCCACTCCACCTCAGTCCATTTTAAATGAGCTCAGGCCCAGAGAAGGTGGCGGCATTTCTGGATCCTGTTTATATATGGTTTCTGCTTTGCATTTTAGAGTTTTAACTTGCATTTGTGGATGCAGTGTCGAACTATTTTCACAGACAGTGTTTTTCAGAAGTGTTTCTGAAGGTGCATGGTGTCATTTCCACTAGAGAATCATGTCTGTTTTAATGAAGTGCTGCCTGAGGGCCCAAAGATCATGGCCAGCACATACTGGTTTTTGGCCTTGTCCCTTGCATACAGAGATTTCTCCAGATTCTGTGAATCTTTTAATGATATTATATACCGTAGCTGATGAAAAGCAAAAGTTCTTTGCTATTTTATGTTGAGAAACCTTATTCTTGAATTGTTGCACTATTTGATTGTGCAGTCTTTCACAGAGTGGTGAACCACTCCTCATCTTTACTTCTGAAAGACTCAGCCTCTCTGGGATGCTTTTTTATACCCAATCATGTTACTGACCTGTTGTCAATCAACCACCAGGTTTTTTTTTAGCATTACACAACTTTACCAGCCTTTTGTTGCCCCCGTCTCAACTTTTTTGGAATGTGTTGTTGGCATCAAATTCAAAATGGGCATTTTTTTTTTATAAAAAAGAAACAATAAAATTTCTCAGTTTCAACATTTGTCATGTTGTCTTTGTACTATTGTCAATTAAATATATGGTTTAAGTGATTTGCACATCATTGCATTTTGTTTTTATTTACATTTTGCACAGTGTCCCAACTTTTTTGGAAATGGTGTTGTAGATGATAAAATACAGAATTATGCTAATGTTTCTTAAGAAGAGATCAAATACTCTATATAGCCTACATCTCAGTAGAGCACAGGATTCCTTTCCAAGCTAAAACAACAATTTCAAAAAATCTTAACAACAGTTAATACTATGGCTCTCAACTAATATCTCAGGGAGGTTTGCTTGCTTTCAGGGACCCAGTATTGATTTATTCTTCTTAGTAAATTATGCTAACATAATATGACAGATAACATAGTCAAGAGTGTGCTGTTTTCTTTGTAATGAGCTGTAATGAGACAAATGTTCTTAGTTTTGTTGTAGTTTTGTTGAGTCTGTTTTTGGTCTTGAGGCTGTAAATCAGGGGTCATCAATCTTATCTACCAGGGGCTGATGTGGCTACAGGTTTTCAGTCCAACCAAGCAGGAGCACACTTTATCAATTGTTTGAAGACTGAAACCAACTGATTAAACAAGTGGAATCACATGTGCTCCTGCTTGGTTGGAATGAAAACCTGTAACCATACCAGGCCTTTGTGGATAACATTGGCAACCACTGCTGTAAATTTATGGTCTCAGTCTTGTCTCAGTCTCAACATCATTTGGACTCGGTCTTGTCTTGTTTTCAGGGAAAGGATGCAGAAATTGTTCTAGGGACCAGCTGAGTGCAATGCCTCCATCTGAGGTGACTGAAAGCTGATTTTTTTCTTATCAATGTCAACAATACCTTCAAACTTCTCTACATCATGTGTCTCAGGTCTGCTATGTGCCTGATTAATTCACAGCAGTAGATACAGCATGAAAGAATTAAGAAATAAACTGAATTATCAAATAAATCCACTGAAAGTGCAGAATTAACAAAAGTCCAAAAGAGGTTGAGATGAGACTGTTATTTCACAGTCTCGAGACTAAGACTGGACTCGAGTAGAACAATACTAGGTAATTCACTCCAGAAAAATTTGTAAAAATTTGCAGGCTTGTAAAAACTATAGATTCACAGTGGATCAAAATTATGGATCTTGTCGACAATCACTCAAATTACTTCCCCAGGTAAAACTAATATAACTCAAATAGGGCTACAGAAAGTAATTTACTCCAGTTTATTAATTTAGCAGACTTATCACATACGTAACAGATTAAAACCACAGATCTCAACAGTAATCACTCAAAACACTGTTAGGTCCATGCATAGTGTTAAACCTAACTAATTCAATAATGCTTATATAAAAACTGAATTTCTATCTAGTTTGATGATTGCATTTATGATTATAAGTTTTTAATGATACACCAAATGCAAATGTAAATGAGAAAGAAAGACATGCTCCGTCACCCAGATGTTTTCACACAAAAACAAAACAAAACAAACAAAAAAGTCACTTTGTATATTTCTATACTCCATGAAATTTAGTACGACTTTGTTACATGCATAATAATGAATATGTTTATAATTCACCCACACAGAAATTTCACTTTCCAAAAATTATGTTCAACATATTTTCTTGAAGTACTCATACTGCTGTGTCTTACTCCATGAGATTTATGCAATCTTGGAGGTTTTCTTCTCTTTAATGATGTTTTCAATCTCCTTCAGCAGGTTGTCTTTGTTGTTTTTTATGTTTGAACCTGCTTTCTCCACAAGATCTGTGATCTCACTATGCCTGTAACTCCTTCGAAAAGTGGAATAGCTTTTCTCCCACTTCTTAATTTCTCCTGAGGAAACAGACACTGGCTGCTTAGACCACCACTACATTTCTGTTACATCACAATATACACTAGCATGGCACTAGGCGGGTGCTGTAAAGTAGGGGGAGGGGACTAACCATAAGAAGCCTATAGCTTATATACAGCAATTCAAATGTAAAACTGGGTGAACAAAGTAAGCAGACAATTACACTCATATACACTGGTATTTAAATACTGCTAATTAATGTATCATATGTCAATATTAAAGCACAACAATTTAGTATTACCAGGAATACCATGCATATTCATTATAGAGATTCAGTTTTGTTGCTATAACAACTCTGTTTCTTTGTAGTATGTCACGAAAAGTCTTTAAAATATCTTTAAAAATCTAATTGATTTAATTTGATCTGATTTAATTAATTGAGCCAATTATTAAGAAGAAAAGGGCCATTAATAACTGATGCAAAAGTCAATCAGTGATAATAGTACAGTGGTGTTGCAGGACAGATTAGTACTCTTTATTTATGTCATTACTCACTATAACTAATTGAAGCAACAATCTATTTTGGCTTTAATTCGAATTTTAAAATTGAATTAACAGCCGTGTTATAATAGATATTTGGCAGCTTTTTTGCACCTCAGCTATGCACTTTTTTATTAATCGTCCTGTAAGCTCTAAAATTATCTTGTGTAATTTCAAGAAGTGGGCGGGGCTTTCCCCCCTTTGCCACTTTGCATTTAGCTAAATGCAAACATGTTTCATTTTCCAAACGTGCATTTAGAATTGAAGGCTGAGCCCTGATGAACAGCAGGTGACATCACGCCTGTTCACAAAGTTTTCTCCTGCTAGACGTGTACTTGATTACTGAACTTCTTACTCAGTGCGTAGTGTGACAATGAGTGTGTCACATTACCCCACATCGCCAAACCCTAAAAACTAGCACCGCAGTTATAGGGACAGTACCCCTTTCAAATATTTCAGTATCTCTGTAGCACCACTGTTAAAAAAAATCTGACACCAGGTTTTAATATACACAGTTTAATTTCTATAATCATCTATAAGGGACTATCAAACTAAAGTGTGACCAACTAATTCTATACAGGAATATTTATTTTAATATGTTAGTTACCTTTGCAGTTAACACCATTGAAAAGAGGGATGTGAATCACAGTTGGAGCTTCAGTGCCATCTTTAAACACATAGAAGTCCTTTGGTTCTGTATTGCCTCCACAGGACACAGCAACTTCAGGGAAAGGGATTTGAAGGGCTTTACAGGTTTTAGCAGTTTGGTTCACTGTCTGCAAAAAAAGGAGGCAATTTTCTATTTACCACTAACCAAATTTACTAACACACACACACACACACACACACACACACACATATATATATATATATATATATATATATATAGTATATTTTATATATAAAACAAAGTGACTGGCAGGTGACTTAAAGAAGTTGTATGTGTGCGCATGTGTGTATGCAAAGTACCTCAAAGGGATCTCCTGCACTGAAGTCAAGGGAAATGATGAGGTCGATGTCTCGTTCTTTTCTCAGAACTGAGAAATAGGGTGAGTTGTGTAATAACCCAGCATCTATGTAGTCTCTCGTCTTTGCTTTAAGGACACTGGGGTCGACGCCTTCCACTGATGAGAAGATCAAATAACACTTTATGAGGCTAACAAGACTCTCCAACAGCTTCCACTGCTGTATTTGGAGTAAAAGGTTTCTAGGATGGTTAGAATATTAGACTTAAGTCCAAGGTCTTAAGTATTAAATTATTAAAGTACGAACCCAATTCCAAAAATGTTTGAACAGTAGATAAACATAAAACAGACAGCCTATTTGCTTTCAATTAAAACAGTACAAAGACAATATATTAAATGTTTAGATCTTTGTGTGTAAAGGGAAAAGCTAAAACCACAACTGTATCACCATGAACGTCAATCCAAAGATGTCACTGCATTAAAAACTGGTATGCTTCTTTAATGAATGCCTCCACAGGGGCTTGGGAATATTTTGACAGGTCGTTATCAATAAGCTCTGTTCATCACTGCATCCACAAATGCAAGCTAAGTCTATACTATGCACAGCGGAAGCTGCATGTCAACACTGTCCTAAAATGCTGGTGACCTCTCTGGACTTGACTGATGCACAGTTGAAATTTGTATTGTGGTCTGACAAGTCAACCTATTAGATTGTTTATGGAAATAATGAACATATTTATAGATAATAATGAACAGAATGTATGGATGGATTTGTGTCTGTGTGTGATTATAGTTACAGTGATAGGACAAAGATCAAAAGTAGGCTGGTGTGAACAGCATTTTACATGCTTTGAATACTCATTGTTTCTGAACAAGAACATATTCTCAAAATCTTCTGTAAAACAACATTTGAAGCGTTTCTTTAGTCATCTATCTGACAGATACGCTTGAATTTTAAATAGCGTTTCAGCCGCTAGATGGGCCTCTCAGATCCAATGAGATCACATACTGCCACTTCCTACAGCTTTCTAAACTATATCTAAAATGGTGTCTGAAACCTACTCTTCTCTGATAGAGTAATAAAAATGTTCATCATAATAAACACATCTGCTGTTTGTGCTGTCAATTTTAAACTTGCTATAAAACTGTTTAATTAAAGTGAAAGGTGTAAAAGAGCTAATATGGTCTGAGTCTACGGTACTCAGACAATACATACATACATACATACATACAGTCAGGTCCATAAATATTTGGACAAAGTTATTGCTATTTCAGCTGCTTGCCACAGTATGCTGGAATTATGATTACATTAAATCATTAAAATGCTGACTTTCTGCTTTAATTTGAAAGTATTTACACCCAAATTGAGTGGACATTGTAGGAATTATAGAGATTCAAAAGTAGGGTTGGGCGGTAAAACAGCATACCACAGTATTTGAAAACGAAGTCGTTGTTTCAAAATGATGATGGTATTTCAAAATTACGACGTGTTAAATTTCTATTTCATGTCTGAACCTCCAAGTAAACACACTCCACCCATGTATTTCAGATGGCTCACTCATTGGTGTGTGGGAGCTCACTAATAGGCAGCTCTGATAAAAAGGGAAAAACCAAAGGCCACCTCACGCAGCAGCGTGCTGCTATAGAGTGCACGCAATGAGAGTGTTGCTAAATGTCAAGATCAAGTTATTTTTTATAATACATTAACCATCCTAATTTAATCATGCTTGGCATCAGTTGTTTACTACCTTACAAACAGCTCTCTGTTAGACAGCTGATAAACACTAGGCTGCAATGTTAACTCAGATCTGAGATCTATTTATCTAAAACTGACTGCCTGACTGACTGACTGCCTTTCTACATGTAAATTTTAAGCCACGTTATCTACTGTGACTTTCTGTGATCTCAGTGTGGCTTTAATGTAATGTAGTAATGACACACTGCTACATGGTGAGCTGTGACATGCTGAGAAATTTAACAGTTGTCAGAGTTGTCGAGCACTGGTGCCAGTGTGTGCCCCTTAAAAACATAAATGATTTTGAAAGTTGCATGACTGGTGTGAGGTGGTCTTAAAAGAGCAATTTGTAAGATTTTTAGTTTAAAACATTCTTAAACTAACAAAACTATCCACAGAATGTAAAGAAATTAAGAGCTTTGTATTGTGTTGCAGAGATTTCTACTGTAGTTAGCATGCTAACTAGCCCCAGCCTACCCTGTCTCATAATATTACTTCACACCTCAAGAGCTGATACTGAGTCACTGTAGTGTTGAATCTGCCATCAGTTCCACAGGAAAGGATGAAGAAATAGCATGCCCACTCCCAGCAAGAAACCATGTTCAGCAGCAAAGAAATGAAGTGACATAAATAGATACAAAAAAAGAGTTAACATTTGCACTGCGTCCACCACTGCAGAAAGCTCTGGGCGAGTAAAGAAAGTTTGATGCTGAATGTAAGTAAAGTAAAGGGGGTAGGAGTATAGAAGGAGAAGAGACTGTGTGCAGTATGAATTTGACAGTTTGCGTCATTTTACATATTGCTTCTTTGGCCTTTGCCCAGTCAATTGACTTTATGCTATCAGATATCCTCTAAACAGGTGTCATTTTAGCAGTTTTAGCATTTATCAGTTAACTGGACATTTGGCCTGATAACTAAAACACCACAGAACAGACTCAATTTCAGCTTTCTGTTCACTTGACATTTATCATCTAAAATTGTGTCACTGGTTAGTCAGAATCAAGCCCGTACTATAAGTGTGACACTGTTTGGGTCTGTAGCCTGCGCACTAAGCTAACTGTATGTTAGCCAATCAGGTGACAAACCCCAAAAGCAGGTTTAATTTTGCCTTTCTGTCCCTTCAACACCAGCTGCTTGACTTCACTCCCTCAGAACTGAGTCACTATCATCTAAACTTGTGGCAGAGCTGTTATTAAGGTAGCTAAGCTAACAGCTAATACTAACCAGCACCACTCTTCTAGTTTGCAGCAATGTTTAGCATTTATAAACTGTTAGATAGGTGGTTTGACGTTTATTGAATGGCGCATTAAAAGTCATGCACTGTGTTTGCCTCTTTGGAGATCACATAAGTGAATACAACTTTTTCGATTATAATGCACCTAGCCATGGAAAAGCAGAGCAGCCAATTGTACAATTACTTTTGAGCATCCAAAGACTGTGGGCTGTTGGATGTTATTCCTGCACCATTTGCCTGATTTAGAAGTAAATACCCTTAAATCAGTCACTTTCAGCTCAAACTTATTATTCAGTTTTAATGCCAATATGCTGTAGTGGATAGCTAACAAATCACTGGAGCTGTGTGTCGTACCATCCTGCTTCAAACGCTCCACCATAATTCCAGTTCCCAAGAAAGCCACCATCACTGGACTGAATGACTACAGACCCGTTGCTTTAACCTCTGTAGTCATGAAATCCTTTGAGAGACTGGTGCTCTCCCATCTGAAGAACATCACAGATCCTCTGCTAGACCCCTTGCAGTTTGCATATCGAGCAAACAGGTCGGTGGACGACGCAGTGAACATGGGACTCCAGCTTATTCTCCAACAGCTTGAACACCCAGGAACGTATGCAAGAATTCTGTTCTTGGACTTCAGCTCAGCATTTAATACTATCATCCCAGGACAACTACACAACAAACTACTCCAACTCAGCGTGCCAACCCCCACCTGCCAGGGGTCACCAACTTCCTCACTGGCAGAGAGCAGCAGGTGAGGTTGGGAAAGTTCACCTCAAACACCCAGATCATCAGTACAGGTGCTCCACAGGGCTGTGTCCTCTCACCACTGCTTTTCTCACTGTACATGAATGACTGTACCTCCACGGATCCCCTTAAATTAATCAAACCAGCTGTATTCAAAAGTTAAATTAAACTAAACAAAGATGAGTTTCCTACCTGTCATGTTGTGGAGATAGTTGTATGTTGTTCCCCAGATCCAGTCGTAAAAAACGTAAAAGCACTTTCCTAACAAAATAAAACTCAATTAAAATACGTAACTCAGTCATTGTACTGGTTAGTCATTAAATATATATATTAGATTTCATTTTATATATATATATATATATATATATATATATATATATATATATATATATATATATAATGTTAGAAACAAAAACAAACATGGCAGCTGGCAAGATAGATGCTCACCGCCTACCAAATAAAGCATTGTTTCAGAATCACCCAGTATTTCAGAAATGTTTTTGCATGTATGTCCCTCCAGGAGGTCCCTCATGTGAAAAGTAAAAAAGAAAATAGTAAGTTAAGATAATTAAGCAATAGACCACCAGAGGGAGTGTGTTATCGCGAAATAACATCTTGGCTGTGATTTGGTCACCGTAGATCATCACAGACGTGATATTATAGCGATAACAGTACTGTTCTACTGCTTTTATACAACAGTTAAATAAATAAAGTAAGAAATAAATAAATTGGTCCGTGAGCGTACGTCAGAGTAACGAGCTCCGCTCACTCGCTGCACAGCCGACAGTTCGTTCTCCAGCTCCTTAGACTAAATTTCTGAAACTGTCATCACCACTGAGCGAGCTTTTTTCTTTTTTGTTGCGGCAGTTGTGGCTCAGTCTGATTTGGTCAGACTCGTGATGTTATGGCGAAGTAACAGCACGGTTAGAACGCTTCTCAACCAATCAGCTTGCGTGGCTGGAACTAACTGTTGTATATGTCCAGTAATCTGGATATTTTGGCTCAGTGTAGTAAAGTATGCTTTGATTTTGTAATAGGCGTCTGTATTACAAAATGCATTCATTCAAGATTTTGTGACAGTAGATGATGTTCTGTGAATTTGGGGATAATATTGTTTTTAGTGATGTCAGTGGATTTCACTGTCCAGTGTACTGAATTTTTAAAAATTAACATATATTTCATTATCAGGAAAACAGAACCAAATTAAAAGCTAAGCATTGCCTATGTTATTACATATAAATCTAAGTACTATATATAACCTTGTTTCCAAAAATGTTGGGACACTGCTGTGCAACATGTAAGTAAAAACAGAACACAATGATGTTTAAGTTGTTTAAATCCTATATTTAAAGGAAACTAGTACAAAGACAACATATCAAATGTTGAAACTGAGAAATGATATTGTTTTTTGAAAAATATATGCCCATTTTGAATTTGATGCCAGCAACATGTTTCAAAAAAGCTGGGATGGGGCAACAAAAGACTGATGAAGTTGTGTAATGCCAAAAACATCTCTCAACTAAACAGGTCAATAACAAGACTGGATAAAAAATCTCAGAGAGGCTTTCAGAAGTTAAGATGAGGAGGGGTTTACCAATCTCTGAAAGACTGCACAGGCAAATAGTGCAACAATTCAAGAAAAACATTTTTCAACCTAAATTAGCAAAGAACTCTGGAATATTATCATCTATGGCACATAATAACATTAAAAAATTCAGGGAATCTGGAGAAATCTCTGTATGCAAAGGACAAGGCAAAAAGTCAATATTGACTGACCGTGATTTTTGGGCCCTCAGGCGGAACTGCATTAAAAACAGATATGATTCTGTAGTGGAAATCACTGCATGGACTCCTCTGAAAACCATTATATCATTATATTAGAACAATGCCAAACCACATTCTGCACGTATTACAACAGTATGGCTCTGTAGTAAAAGAGTCCAGGGGCCATATTACAGAAACTTCCTATCTTTTTGTCTTAACTTAAGATCTGCAAGGTCAAGATAAGATTTTTCACAAATTTGCATTACAGAAGAAAATCTTATCTTGATTTAGCAATCTCATCTTATCTTACAGCATCTTATCTTAGTTTTTATTAAAATAAACACACAAAAATAATAAGAGGGGCAGTGGAGTTTGTGTCTGCAGCGTCTGGGCTTTTAAAACGCTGTTAAAAAAACCCTTACAAATCAAACCACCGTTTTCAGTGTAGATAAATATAACGTCATTATGCTAGTTATGGTGAACTGTGCTGCCAGTCACGGCATAAAACAATAGAAACAGATGGTTAAAAGAGAAGTTAAGACAGCTCTGTTGTTGTCTTAAAGTTAGGACAGAATTTAAGAAATCTTGTCTAGTTAGGAGGTTTCTGTAATACTTTTTTCTTATCTGGAGTTAGGATAAGATTATGAACGTAAGAACTGTTGTACTGTAATAGCCTCTGTACTAAATTCAGTCCTAACTGAAGTTGTCATAGCGACTAAGCAGATAAAGTCTGATTTCAGATTGAAAAAGTTTCTGTAATATGGACCCAGGTTCTAAACTGACCTGCCTATATTCCAGCCCTGTCCCCTACTGAAAACATTTGGGATATTATGAAACAAAAAACATGACAAAGGAAACCCTGAACTGTTGAGCAGCTAAAATCCTATATCAAACAAGAATGGGAAAACATTTCACTTTCAAAACTGCAGCAGTCGGTCTCCTCAGTTCCCAAATGCTTACAGAGTGTAAAGAAGAAGTGATGCAGCACAGTGGTAAACATGCCCCTGTTCCAATGTTTTTGGAACGTGCTACTGGCAGCAAATTTAAGATGGCCATATATTTAATACATATAAAATTTCTCAGTTTCAACATTTGATATATTGTATTTGTACCATTTACTATTAAATATGGTGTTTAAATGATTCACGCATCATTGCATTCTGTTTTTATTTACATTTTGCGTCCAAACTTTTTTGCAAACGGGGTTGTAATATAACTTATATAATGTTTGACCTTGATTATTGCAACCATTTGTTAATTTTATATATAGTAATGTAAATCAGAGTGTATGCTTTGTGTTGAAAAGCTCTTTGATTATTATTCTTACATAGAAATAATTATAAAATTATTGAATATTTTAGGAGCTGTTCATGCAGGAATCCAGGTAGTTCAGAAACTTTTTCATGCAGCTATACACACTGTAAACACAGGAGACATTTGTTGAGAAGGAAAAGTCAATGTTTGTTGTAAAATATGTTCGTTTTTCACACATTTCATGCACCTCAATTCATGTCAAAATGTCCATTATAATGGAATATTATATTTTTCCAAAAAAGAAAAAAAAATCATATAACATTTTATTTAGTTTGTAGCAGAGAACATTACTTGATAACTTGATAAAAAAAGTGTCTAGTCTCAGGACTGAGGAGGTTAAGGAAAAGACTTGAAACACACTCTATGTTAAGTACAGTAATACAAAATACATGTGATACTGCTGTGTAATAACTGTTTACTATTCAATTATGCAATGTCTATCATCTGGTTGTTTGTTCTGTGAGGTCTTTGTCTCATCTTTGATCTGTGTATACTCCTAATGCTATCTATTACTGCCCTGCCCTACACCCTACCTTCCCCCACCCTTGTTGCAAAATGCAATAATAAGTTGATCACCAAAAATAAATAAATAAATAAATAAATAAATAAATAAATGTTTACTGATAGGAGAGAAGTTCACTTGATCAGAGGAATGATACTTCAGCAGTGGGGTTTCAAGTCGGTGATACTTTGTGTTCTTATTTTAATATTACTGATTATTTCCCACTGTAAACTGTCTAACCCCTGTGTCCACAGATGCAGGGCAGGATTTCTCCTATTTTACGGAGGCTGGGTATGTCTGCTCACCACACAGGAAAGCAAAAGTAGCTTTTCTCACATACCTCTATCATCTATCAAGGGTTCAGAGGTTCAGAGGAGAACTTACTGGCACTGTTTATCCAAGATTTCACAGAGGTCCCACAAAGAGTAGCTGTTAAAGCAACACAAGCAATGTGAGAGAAAACAAATAAGGTTGTTCTTTCAGTTATCAGGAGATGGTAGCCAAACTGAATGAAAGTTGCATGCATTAACATACACAAATATTGAGATTAATTTAAGATAATATCCAGTAATCTGTATATTTATATTTATATAAGATTTTGTTTACTTTAAGTGGAATCTAATATGTACTTAGAAGTGACAGTAGATGATGTTCTATGAATTTGGGGATAATATAGTTTTTTAGTGATTTGAACAGTATGCTGGACACATAAGCTAATGGAATTTTGAAAAATTGACATAACATAACATATATTTTTTATCATCACCTATACACACAGTAAACACAGCAGAAGTTTGTTAAGAAGAAGTCAATGTTTGTTGTAAAAAATATGTATATGTCACGCATCCCTCGGGCTCAGAGGCCTCTAGAGGCTCTATGTCCCAGAATCCCCAGGGTAATCACACGTTTCTCAGACCTCCATCTTACTCCAATCACCGCTCTCAGTTGCCTGAATACTAACTTGTTACACCTGTTCTCTAATGATCAGATTAGTATAAAACCCAGGCTTTTAGTCTAGTTCAGTGTGAGGTATTACTACTTGTTCCAAGAGCTGCTGAGCATTATTATTCTAATTATTGTGATTTTTCCGGTTCTGACTCTGTTTTGACTTTTGCCCTTTGTGTCTTTGCCCTTTGGACTTTGTTTGCCTTGTTATGTTTATCTGTTTGTGTCTCTTGTCTTTGTTGGATTCAACCTTTGCCTGTTCTTTGACCACGTTTTTGGATTACGACTCTAACATTAAAGCCTCACCCTCTTTTTTTAACGACGAGCGTCTGAGTTATTCTGCCTCATTACAGTATATCATTTTTCAAAGCCTCACATTTCATGCACCTAATATACACACTTAAAAAGATGGTCCTTCAAGGGATCTTGAGTACAGAAAATGGTTCTGTATAGAACCATGAACACTTAAAGAACCTTTTGATGATTAAAGCGTTCTTTATCGTGAAAGAGTTCTATTGATGGAGAGTGTGTTATATATGTTTCTATATAGAACCTTTATGAAAAGCGTTCTATATAGCGCTAAAAATGTCAAGCCTGTAACAAAGGAAGAACCCTTTTTGGTGCTATATGGAACCCTTTCCAAAAAGGTTCTATATATAGAACCATCTGCAGCACATTCTCCATCAATCTGAAGAACAATTTAATGATGCAGAAAACCCTTTAATCATGCATAGGGTTCTTTGAGTGTTCATGGTTCTATATAGAACCATATTTTTTACTAAAGAAACCTTAAAGAACCATTTTCTTAAAAAGTGTGGGTGTATATTGGACAGTGAATTTTATGTTTCCCACTAAAAAGGAAAAAAATAAATAAAAATTATTTAGTTCGTAGCAGAGAACATTGTTTGATAACAAAAAACATAGTTTGATTTAAAGAGTCATGTCTCAGGACTGAGGAGGTTAAGCAAAAGACCTGAAACACACCCTTTGTTAAAAAAAATAAAAAATAAATAAAAAATCTATGTGATATTGAATTGAGAACCATCAGCCGACTGTGTTTGCACACTGTGGAATTAGACCTCCGCAATTAACCCATCCGTGCAGTGAAACACTCACATACATGCACACTAGTGAACACACACACTAGGGGTAGTGAGCACACTTGCCCGGAGCGATGGGCAGACCTATCTACAGCACCCAGAGAGCAATTTGGGGGTTAGGTGCTTTGCTCAAGGGCACTTCAGTCATGGACTGTCAGCCGAGGGGATCAGACCGGCAACCTTTCGGTCACAAGGCTGGTTCCCTAACCTCCAGCCCATGACTGCCCACCTTTTTGCTACTGTTGCAGTTAAAAAAGAACTGTTTACTATTTGATTAATATCTCCTATTTAAGGAGGCTGTGTATGTCTGTTCACACCACACAGGAAAGCAAAAGTAGCTTTTCTCACATACCTCTATCATCTATCAAGGGTTCAGAGGTTCAGAGAAGCACTTACTGGCAGTCTGTCTCACTGGGGTCAAAGATGTCCCAGGATTCAAGAAAAAAGTACCTGTTAAAGTAACACAAACAACATGAGAGTAAACAAACCAGGCTGTTCTTTCAGTTTTCAGGAGATGATAGCCATGGATGGAATGAATGGAAGTTACATACATTAAGTATACATATTGTCCATAGTAACCCTGAGAAAATTTGTCACAATAAAAGTTAAGGGTGCTTCGTTTTGAAAATGCATGAATACTGGGGTTGTACTCACTGGACGCAGGCTTGTTTTCATCAAACAAATCAGAGAGAGAATTGCATACACGGTCAGTGTACTTCTTAAGCTCTGCCTTGGAGATTGTCCTTTTTGATGCCATCAGGGTCACAGAATGAGCCATCTTTCTTCCTTTTTTTCCTGAATGAGCCATCTTTCTTCTTCCTTTTACTGAATGAGCAACCTTTCTTCTTCTTTTTCCCGAATAAGCCACCTTTATTCTTTTTGTTTCTATTTTTTGATCATCTAACAGAGACAATTTATATATGGAATTTATATATATATATACACACACACACACACACACACACACACACACACACACACACACACACACATATATATATATATATATATATACATATATGCAATAACTATATAAAAAATAGGCTTTTATATGTTAATGTTTGGATAGTTAAACTGTCATGTTATCTTTATGTGATTTGTTGGCAAATACAACCTTCCAGTAGGTCTTCTATTATATTGATGTAATCTGTAGGATCCTCCTTTTCCATGGCAGACACGTACAGTCCCATGAGTGCTAAGAGCAATTCACATTCCTCCTGCCCTTCTAGACAAAAACAAACAAAAAAAGGATGTAGCTGAGCTGGTAGTTGGAGCGATATTGGTTACTTGTGGACATAATGAGCTAATTGAGTCATAAGGTCATTTCAGCATATGGACAGCTGTATTAACAGTAACAATGAAAATAATGGACAGTAAGACTCAATCTTACCTTCTTGAGGATGTGCAGATTCAAGACAACAGGTGACACTACCAGTTAAGCCTGTATGCATTTCTGGTGTTCCTGAGTATCTGAATAGTCTCCGCCAAGCTAACAAAAGAGAATATAGACCAGGAATGACTCCCTCCAAATCTTCAGTTACTTTTTTTACGTTTGCATTTGTGGCAGGTTCTCTTATCCACTGTGTAGAACTATATCAGGATTAAACTGTAAGTTGCTCAATTTACAGTTAAGTCCTGTTACAGAAGTACACTATTGTTGAAAACTTTGGAATTGCTGTTGAAAAGTTTGCAATCAATGGGCTTCATCCACCAACATTCTTAAGAAGAAATTTCTATTTAAAACCCTCTTACGCAGTTTTCACGAAGATTCTGACGTTCACAAGTGCTTTTTATTTGGGATTTGTTCTTAGGTAAGAACAGAATTCACACACAATCAAGAGCACAAAGGTGTGAACAATTCTGCACTTTAAGAACACGTCATGAATCTGACAGGCTTTTTCTTAGGACCTTTCTCAAGAACAAATTTAGGAAAAAACTTTGATGATATTGGTGAATGAGGCCCAGTGTTTTCAATAATACAAAACTGTATTATGTTTTTAATAATTAGTAATTAACAAATTAATAAATAATTCTAAAACCAGTCCTCTGCAATACTAAAATTAATATCCATGATGCCTTAACATCCAAAACTGTGGGGAGTAACGGTTCCACCAGTTGCTTTGTTCTTGGTCTCTTTCATATCTTAATAAAGCCAGCAAAACTCAATTACCATACAGCTCAGTTTGCAGTCTGTTTAACAAGTTCAGCTCACTCTTGCAATCTTCATGTTATCATCTCAGTTTGGCATTTTTTTCCTTTTATACTGGCTTCTAGGTTACAGACAGTTCTTACATTTACAAAAACAAAACATTTCATTATTTCCAAAAGATTTTTTTTTTTTTTCGTATTGTATGATAATTGAATGATTGAATGGGGTTTAGGGATTGATATGACTAGTGGTTGAGGGATGCAAGGTCTGTAAGTATGCATTGTATGTCTTGTTCCAAACTTCTATAACACAACCTGATTTATTAACTTTTAAATGAAACATTTACACTCAGTAGTCTTTAATAGATAAATAAACAAGGAGACTGTTAAAAAAGAGAGAGGTTCATACAAAAGAATTCCTTTATTGTCTTCAGGATCTCTTGCCTATCAGCTGGTGCACTGCCACACAGGCCTGTACAAATTCCAAAGAAATGAACAAGAACAAAGAATTTATTAACACTGAGACCTTGATAATTCTTTATTTCATAGTCCTTTAAGTTCTAGGTAAAACCAGGTGTTTATAAACAGTTTCTTCGTATTTTGAATATTCATCTATTGTTGTGTCTTAATGGGAACAATGGTGGAAAATTAAAAGAAAAGTGAATATCAGTACTGATCAAAATGCCAAAAAAACAAATATAATTGGTCTTTATTATTATAGTTCCCATCAGTTTATTATAGTTCCCATCAGTTACTGATTTAAAATGTTAACACACAGGAGACCAAAGTTTTTCTCCATTCAGATAGGATAAAAATACCTTTGCATCACTCTTTATGTAAAATTCTGCTTTGGAACAGAAGGTCAGAGGATTTTTTAGTCAAACAACATGGCAGACTGTGTCTCACGTCTTGCAATGCCTGCTGACCATACTACAGATGTTGAACCAGAACTGGTTGCAACTGTCGCTGCTGCTCTCACTGCATTGTCACCAGCTTTGAGTCTGCTTCAAATTTGTGCACTGAACTGTCTGCTCTGCTTCAAGATATCACCTCTTTTCTCTTCACCACCTTCATGAGACACAGCAAATCCAGCGTTGAGTGTAACAGATAATAGGCACAAATGCATGTGCTGAGTTCTTAGCCAAACTTTGCATCGTGTAGTGTGGAGTGTGTGTGTACCACCCAGCAGCAAATGGCACAATTTAGCACTTTAATCAGATTTTGAAGCATTGGGTCCAGATTTTAGATGCTATGCCATGGACGTTTACCATTACTGAGTTTTGAATGACTTTCTTTGAAGTCTTTGAACTACTTCATGGCAGCAAAATGCGCACCAAGCCTTCCGTGCTTACTATCCTGAAAAAGGACACAACTACAGTCACCTGTACTACAGTCAAATTGTTGGAAGGGCGAGATGATGCACCTCCATCTCTTCCACATCCACTTTTCAAATCCACATCACCAGAGTAGCTACATAGTTTCTGATTCCTTTGAGGCTATAGACTAAAATTGAATAAATTGAAATAATAACAAAATATCTTATATATTATAATGAGATATTAGGTTAACATACTGACATAGCACATAGCTTTTTTTCAATTATTTTACAATGAGTGAATGATTGAGTAGGGTTTAGTGATTGACATGACTAGTGGTTGAGGGTTGCTGGGTCTGTAAGCATGCACTGTATGTTTTGTTCCAACCTTCAATAACACAATATGATTTATTATCCATTCAATGAAACACTCAGCTCAGTGACCTTTGGTAGATAATTAAATGAAGAGACAATTAGAAAGAGAGAGGTTCTAAAATAAGGGGACTATTTAAGAAATAATATTAGCTAATAATGTTTTTCACATTTCACATTTTGTTACCACTTTATACTAAGTGTCTCTAATAACTGTGTAGTTATATGTGAACATGTGCAACAACAATGTAACTACTGATGATTTAGTCACTGTTACAGATGGATTACAGAAGCACACCTTATGTAATTACACAAGTGTTTCTTAATAGTTATAACAGCCCATTCTCTCTCATGTAATTACACAATGATCATAATATAAATGTAATTACATTTGTCCCCTGATCTTAAAATGCAACTTTAAAGACATTAATTAAATGTGTTGCATTAAACCCAAAGCAATGTCTATATTACCACTCCATTATTACACAGTACCTACATAATAACTACACAGGAACTGTCCACTTATTATGAAGTTTAACTTTAACACTACACTACAGGAAAGTTCCTGTGTAGAAGATACACTTGTGTAATTACATGAGGCAAAACTGAAGTTGATACACATGTCTAATTATATAGGCTGTACTTCTGTACTCCATCTGTAAAATTGCCCAAATCATCAATAGTTGCAGTGTTGTTACATATGTTATTCATGTGTAACTACATAGTTATTAGAGACACTTAATATAAGTGGGACCCACATTTTTGTTACCTTGTAGGTACAGCATGTCAATCTCAGGCTGGTCTTTAATCTTCTTTCCTTTCTCAAACTGACTTCCCAAACAGGAGGAATCCACAAAGGCTCCAGTGAGAGAATAACCTGATTCATCTGGAGTGATCTCAAACCAAGGATCTACAAACAGTAATTCGTGTAAGTTTTCCTATGCACATACACACACACACACACACCCACTCAAACACGAAAAACACTTGTACATGAAAATTACCTGCGCACAGTCCAACATATTTACACTGATTGTCAATCACAGTGTAAATGGGATACGGGTTATTGGTGTAGTTGCTCCTCTGCTCTGAGAGTTTGTCTCCATCTATCTGTGAAATATAGAAAACAGAGGGGTCCAAAACTTTAGTGGAAATGCTTCTATTTTGTTTTTTTCTAGTTTAATTCAAAGTTCTTCATTACAAATTAAATTACAATCATAACAAAGGGTGAAAAGTAGATTCTTTGAACCCCATTTCCAAAAAAGTTGGGACACTACACTCTACTTGTGTAGAATGTAAATAAAAATAGGATGCAATGATGTGTATATCATGTAAACCATATTTTTTAAAGGAAAATACTATGAAGACAACATATCTTTGAGAACATTTTAGAGTTTTAACTTGCATGTCTGTTTTTAATGCAGTGCCACCTGAGGGCCCAAAGATCATGGTCAGCAAATGCAGGTTTTTGGCCTTGTCCCTTACATACAGAGATTTCTCCAGATTCACTGAAACTTTAATTGTTATTGTGTACCATAGATGATGAAACCCTCAAGTTCTTTGCTGTTTTATGTTGAGACATGTTATTCTTGAATTGTTGCACTATTTGCTTGTACTTGTGTCTTTCACAGAGTGATAAACCTCTCCTCATCTTTACTTCTGTCACGCATTCGGCTAGTCAGCCAACGGACTACATTTCCCAGAATACACTGGGGAATCAAGATACGGAGCTATTTCCCTCACTTGCCAGTAATGACTCGGACTCCACTTCCCAGAATCCTCAGTCAGATCATGTGACTCCACAAAGATCCTCATCCTCCTATCACCGCTCGAGATCACCTGAATACTAATGCTGTTCACCTGTGTGTTTGTGTCATATGACTAGATAGCTAGTATATTAGCCCAGGCTAGAGCTAGGTTCATTGCGAGGTATTGCTTTCCACTGTGAAACTACTGAGCGTTCTTCCTGTTGATATATCGTGTGTATGACCTTCTGTTTACTGTTTTTCTCTGACTCTGTTTTTGGATTTGCCCTTGTGTACTTTTGCCTGGTTTATCGGATATATAGTTTTGACTCATCGCCTGTTTTCTGGACTTTGCTCTGTTTTTCCCTTGTTGGTTATGGTAGCCCTTCTTCATCTACTTCATCTAATCTCTTTTTGGAACTGACCTATGCCTGTTTTCTGACGACGTTACTCATTCCTGATCCCACAAGTAAAGCTTCTTTTGTATTTTATAACCGCGAGCGTCTGCTTACTGGTCGATTTTTACAACTTCTGAAAGACTCAGCCTCTCTGGGATTTTTATACCCAATCATGTTACTGACCTGTCAACCAACAGGTGTTTTTTTAGCGTTACATAACTTTACCAGCCTTTTGTTGCCCCCATCCTAATTTTTGGGAACGTGTTGTTGGCATAAAATTCAAAATGGGCAAACATTTAAAATAAACAATCAAATTTCTCAGTTTCACCATTTGATATGTTGTCTTATTGTCGTATTATTTTAAATTAAATATAGGGTTTAAATTTGCACATCATTGCATTTTGTTTTTATTTACATTTTGCACAGTGTCTCAACTTTTTTGTACATGAATTTCTTCTTATTATTTTTTTCTTAATCAACCATGGCTTAAAAATATAATCTTTGGTTTAAATCCATATTTTGCCACTTTTCTGATGTTCAAGACTGTCAAGGATGCTTAAAAGTGAACTATACTAATATGCTACCTGTGATAATCTAAAACACAGCCAGCTTATTATCTACCACAGGCTCTCCCCTGGATTAAAAGCTTACTAGCGAGCTAGCAACTAGCTAGCTAGAGTAGTTGGCCTAGCATATTTATGTACTTCATGAAAGCTGAAAAAACTTTTAAACTGAAAGATGTACTTTTCTGTCTGTGAGATGCCTATGTATGTCTAACTAGGGTTGCCAAGTGAACCAGATATTCCAGTTTTGAGCTCCATTGAAAATGTCCAATTGAATGTCTCTCTAAAGCAGTCTAGTTTGCAGTTTGCTCTCTCAGCCTTCTGTTTAACAGCTACACTGATCTGTTATAGAGAAATAAAAGATGTGTGTAAGCATCAATGATGAACATGGATATTAGAAATATTAGATATTACATATTATTAAAACGTAATATTAGAAGTTATTGAGTATCAAAGTCAAAATGTGAATGTATGAAAGTATTTTAACATGCAGAAAATCAGTCAGAGACTTATTGTTTTTGGTTCACCAACTCAGCCACTTAATAGACTTAATATACAAGCAGATAAGCAGATTTTTAAAACATACAGTATACATTCAGATTATGTTGTACAGCATGTGTAAATTGTTAGTCTTTCATTTGTTTAATAAGTATCTCATACACTGTAAAAATGCTGAAAAATGTCCACAAATGCTTACAATGTTTTACTGAAGCTACAAGGCTAATTTAGCCTTAGTTAGCATTATGCAAACTGTAAAATTATTGTTATTTCTAAGTCACATATTTTGTACAAACCATGTTAAGACATTAAGAACACCAAAACAGACCCAACTTATGAGGGTTTTGGCACTGTTATCTATAAAAACATGTATGTATGTTGCTAGATAACTGGCAGCAATAAGATTCCCTGAGCTTAAGTATAACTTTACCTAACATTATATTAGTCATACAGCTCTGAAGCAAAACTAAAGAAGCAACATTCACTCTCCAAACATGCACCGACTACATTTATGATATTTATTTCCACTGAGCTATTGCTTTATTTTACTTCAGATTTCTCTCAATGGCTTCAGCAGGGAAAGAAGTGAGCTATCGAGGCAGTTTTAACATCTGTGTAGGTTAGCTTAACTTTAAAACCCACTAGAACTGGGTACTCAAAATGGTGGGTATCAAAATGGTTTGGACCTCGTTGGTGGTTCATTAGCTTACTCTCACCATTTTTACCTCCTTAGCTGTTGCCGTGCATTTTAATGGTCTAAATAATGGCATGTAGTTAGTCCAATTTCTTGACATATGCTATCTAGCTAGCTGAGGGAAAGTTAACTGCAGGGGTTTTATAAAACCTTCACATGTGCAAATCCTTGTTTAAGTAGTGATTTAAAAATGTTTAATTTGATGTGAAGACTGTAACTGGGCCTAGACACTCTTATTGATCAATCTCAGTCTGGCTTCATGAAAGGAAGGCACATGTAATAACATTCGACTTATGCTTGACCATATAGACTACTGTATAGCCATCATACTAATGATGAAAGTCTCATCCCGTTCATGGCACAGGTCAAATTACAATGTTCTGTTTATTTGTTATTTACATATTTGCATTTGTTCTGCGTTTTTAAAATTACACTTATTGCCCAGACCACTAGCTTTGCTTGTTTGTTTTTTCCCCTAAATATGTTATAATATTCAGCAAATAAACAGTAATTGTGCATTAAAGTGTACAGAAGTATGTTCTCTGTAAAGAATGTGTACTTATTTTCATGTAGAAAATCAACAAAACATGTACTTTAACTAGGGGTGCCCAAACGTTTGCATACAGATAGACATGCAGTTTTTAGCATCTTTCTTTTGTGATTGGATACTTCAGATTTTGTTATAGTTTCAGTCGGTGGTGGATGGATTTTAAGCACCATTTGAGCTGCAGATTTCTGCTGGACCAGGCAACCCTGACAGTTGTGCACTATTCTTACCTCATTAACCATGTAAGACACAACCAGCGCTGTCCATATATCCGTTAGGCTGAAGTTGTCTTTTTCCATGTATTTCATTAGTTTTTGAATCATCTTCTTCCAACCGACCTTTGTGCCAGCAAGTCTTTGGATGATGTTATTTTTCACAGTCTTCAGTTTGGAGGACCAGTTTGGTTCTTTATATAATGAAGACATGCACCTTCAAGAACAGATGAGTGTGTTTTAATTTCCATTTTTTTATGTTTATTGCGTACTTCATTTGTATTTTCTTGGGGCCCTTGGATAATGGAGCATAGGGGCCTTTGGGCTTCTGCCTACTGCAAAGACCACCCCTGGAGATGCACACACAGCCAAGCTACATATGCAAAGCTAAATTTATTTAGTCTAAATGTATGGATCTGTATGAGTACTTGAAATATCTGATATGTTCTGTGTCAGTACCAGGTAGATCCTGAAACTCCACACAGGTACATGATGCAGTCCAACAGTCCATCTTCTTTCAACTGATTCAGTGACCCCAGCAGTCCAACCATAGCTCTCAAACCACCACCAGAGCCCAGCACTGCGATGTTAGGCACCTCATCCTGCCATTAATGAAACACAAATCCTAAACACTATACAAAATATAGCAACATCTTCATCTCCGCTATGTCACTGAAGTGCGTGTGGAATGTGTTGCTGTCTTTGTGCTGTAAACATTCAGTTTTGTCTTGTGTTGGAACTAAAGAGCAGTTGTTGTTCAAGGATGCCTCTGGGCCACACCTCTTCTTAACGGATGCCACTCTATGCAGATATTTACACTTTCATTTACATAATATTTAAATATTAAATATTAAATATTACTGAAAGGAATAATTATCTATAACGGAAAAACACAACTGTATAGTTTAGTGTAGTGTAGGATAGTATAATATAGCAAACCAAGGGCTCTATTTCCGTGCCTGTGTAAGTGCATTCTAATGGTATAAGGCTTGCATATTACTAATTTGGTTGGAAGCATGTCCATTTACACCTGTTTGTTATTTTGGTGGTCATACGTTGTGGGTAGAGCGGCATAACAGTGACACTCAAACCCCACCCCCCCCACCCCAGTGTAAGGGTGTTTTATAACTCAATTTGGTCTAAAATGTGCTACCACCTTCTTAGATCTAAAGCTCAAAGCAGAAAATAATTGGTAGCACTTTATTTCATGGGATTTACTTATTTTACTTATTATAATACTTGTAAATGCTTGTATTTAAACTTTGCAAGTTTAGTATACAAGGTCTGAGCAACAATTTTTAATGCTAGTATGTTACATGATAATGGCAAGTACTACCACACTGCTTCAGTAAATACATGCCTATGTGCTAGAGAAGAACAGGTTACAGGTACAGGTGACAGAGGTGTAAAAAATTGGATCTGCCCTTTTTTTTTTCCAGTACAGCATGTTAGTCCAAAATATGTTTAGTGTTAGTGGTGCCTTCACAGATGTGCAAGTTACCCAGTAACTCCCCCTATACCACGACAGTGTCTGAACTTTATGCCAATACAGTTCGGTCCATAATGTTTCAGGGTCTGACATTACTGTTTCTGGTCATTACTCTGTGCTCATTGATGCTTTGTTAAGTACACCTAGTAACAAAAAAGAATTTATAACTCAAAAAAGGTACTTACAACAGCTGAACAGAAATTTCTGAACTTGCAAATTGTATTGATCTATGTAATACTCAATGTAATACACACTCTTTATTAAATTAAATGCCTTTTGAATTAATGACAGGTAGGGCAATAAGATTACTATTAGATTCAGGATATATAGCAGAAGGCTGTACAGGGCTATTTTATGAGGAACTGGGACAATATTTGAATGTTCTTATTGATTCAATTCAGAATAAATAGCTCAGACACTTCATCTCATTTTATTTGTTTTGACCTTTGTGGAGATTTTAGTCATCATGAATCTGGTTTATCAAGCTTACTGAGCATGCAAACCCTTAAGGTCTTTATCTTCAGAATTGAGATTTCAAATGAATGTGAACAGTGGTTGCAGGAATTCACTGAAGCACACCCCCTTTATTGATGTTGTTCTAACTTTGGTGACCAAATTGAATGTTTAGTCACTAATGATTTGCCTACTGACAGATATTCCAGTTCAGTCCTTTTTATACTGCCAGATGTCTCTGAGGGGTTGGATATGTTTGTATAGTCAGTAATAATGGGCAAACCCTTTGCTGGTGTTGGCAAAGCTTTGTGTAATGCTGCAAACATGCATTCTTCATGAAAAGCGATGCATAGTGTCACACCTATAATTCCTAAAAAGGATGGGCACTATTGCAAGTGCTGAGTACTCCATGTTTTTAAGTGAAGCCTAATCCCAAATTGATGATTCACTTTCTTGAGAAACTAAGTGTGCTCAAGAAAAAGAATCAGAAGGATATGACAAGCCCCACATTATTGTTTTTTGTGAAGCATTGTAACTCATTTGAACATTCTAATGATTCTCCTGCTCTATCATTCTGTTAATCTTCACAGGAGAATCATAAGGCAAACAGATAAAGTTGTGCCAAATGCTGAGTGTTGAAAAGGTCATGAGATCAAGTTTCTGCTATCTCACTGATAGGTTTGTTTTTTTCAGACTAATGAGGGCCTGCTTCACTTGCAATGACACCTCTCTGGACCTCATATTGAGAGTTCCCATGAACTACAACTAAATGCATATTCAACACTTGGAATCAACTCCAAACCCTTAATTTGTCATGAAGTAACGAGGAAACGGGTCACCCCTTGCAATGAAACTGCTTATCAGTCAACTATCTAGTTACTTTTGAGGCTTGTGAAACAATTTCTTTGTGATTAGCCAATGAATGTAAGGCCTCCCATTCATTCATACAAATAATCTTCCACATCCCCTCAATAAGTTTAAAAAAGTGTTATGTTAGTCTAGACCTCTATCCAGTTTATCATTTTTGAATTTGGATATCTGCATTTTCCTGTTTGCTGGCTGTTGACCTGGACTGTTTACTGTCCTGATTGTGTTAATAAAAGCATTTGCAATTCCATCTAACTTCCTCCTCCTGTAAGTGTGACATGTTAATGGATGCACTATTGACTCCAAGGGAGAAACGTACTTTCATTTTTAAAGTAGACTATTTCTCTTTCAGTAGTGATATGAGCAGGAAAAGACAGAGGGACCTATCTTTGATGGATCAAATATTTCAGTTTAATGCTGCAGAACTTTACTTTAGTCTCAAAAGTATCTAGGTTGGGTATGGGAACAAATGAAATTCCCTTATTCAAAGCTGATCCAAAGGGTGGCTTGTCAAATCAATAATGTATCAGATGTCTGGTGTGGACATGTTGGGTACTTTTGAGTTGAAAAAATAACAGTTCTTATCATTTCTGACCATTAAAGTAGCAGATGAGTGTGAATGGGCATGCATCCAACCAAATTAGTAATATGCTGGCATTATACCATTAGCATGAAAATAGAGCCATGGGTTTGCTGTATTATACTTGGTTAAACTACACTAAAAACAAAGCCCTACGTCCCATTTTTTCACATGAGCTATAATCATGAAAATACAACCCTAAAGGTTTTATATATTGAAGAATATGATTTACCTCACTGCATGATATACCGTGCTGCTTCAGGCACTGTAGAACAGTTTTTCTTCTTCCGGCCACATGCTGCTTCTCAGCTTCACTCAGAGAGTGACCAATTCTCACCTTAGTGCTACACACATTATACAAGAACAGAAAAAACAGTTAATATATTTAATTGATGCATGCACATATAAAAAGTGTTTTAATAGATTGTCTTATAGAGTTGTAATAATAATAATAATAATAATAATAATAATAATAATAATAATAATAATTCATACAAATACCTTTCTGTTGTTTTGTCCTGGTCCATCTACCAAAACAATGCATAAAAAAAGAGCATCATAAAGAAGAGAACAACACCTGCCACCCATTTCAAAACTAGTTTCAACAGAGCCATCTTAGGGGCCATTTCATTACTGTATTTGCTCAACTGAAGTTTATTATATGGGCCTTAGAGGGTTGAGGGATCAAATGAGCACAAGGGTTGACTTCAGAATTCAGAAATCATGGACATGGATATCCCTGAAAAGGATGGCATCTGAAAAGCAGCATATGTTGCTCTAAAGTGTATTCAGTGTTAATGGTGCTTTCACTGGGTTGTTACCCACCAATACAACCCCATTAAATAACAGACTCTGGCTTTTGAGCTTTAGACAGGTAACACCTCTTGTGCAATTAAGCAATTACTCAAGTTTTCTGTAGGTTATCTTCAACCCTCTCAAAAATATTTTGCGTTGTTTGAATGCGTGGCTCTTCCTCTTGTGCTATAAGTGACGACTTCTGTAATGTGAATGTGACACTTCCAAGTGGGCAGGTCAAAAAAGTATTGAAACAGGGCCTTAGATTTATCAGATTAGATACTTTACATACTTACAGGAGTGTAAGTGAAATGTTTCACAGATCTTTGCACAAAATTGTTGACCAATGTGATAACAAAGGCACGAGTTTACTTAAGGTATTCTCACTGTATAAATAACCTTAAAGTCAGTGTTATGGACTCCAATGCCCTTTAAAATGTTCATATCACAGACAATAAGGCTAGAAAAATAATACAATCAGGTATATGTTCAGATGTTCTCCAGATTGCTGCTGTCAGGACTTTACTGAAATAACACAACCTGGATTATTTAAGTAACTTCAGACTAATTTTCAATCTATTATTCTAAAAAATGTTTAAGATGTAAAGTACTAGGGAAATTCATATTTACATAAATACCCTATAAATGCATGATTTAGATCTTGATCAGAACATAGTGTAGAAATAGCACTGCCAAAATTAATCAATGATTTGAAAGTCAATCTTATGGAATTATGATTTCAGGTTTTGTACTTGTAGATTCAAGTGTTGCTTTTGACAGAAGAGATCATACTGTCCTCATGAACAACCTTGAAATTTTATTACATTTGGAAAGTGCTGTTTTTGGAATCAGGCAGTAGTCTACAACTCATACACTGTCTTCTCACTCAGTCTTAGCCTTTAACAAAACTGTGTATTTCTGTGGCCAAATTTAAACAATTCTTGCATAGATAACAGTTACACTGTTATAAATCTCTGACACTTAACATGAAAAAACTGCATATCAGGTGGCTAAATCATGAATACTAGTTTAGAGAGATAAACTGTTTGTAACGTGAACATTTGTAAATAGGCCAATCACAACTGATTCCCATCTGAGCTGACGTTCTACTCAGGTACTGACTTCTGGAGTTATTTTGTTCAAAATAGACGGTTCATTATGGACATAACAAGGACACAACAAGGAAATGCACATATGTGCACATATAAAAAAGACAGGACATTATGACACAGATCAGGTAGAGTAACATTTGCAGTATCTGTGACTGTTTGCTTTGCTAGATAATGAAAGTACTGAATTTTATAGTTTCTGTTACTTTATTTTTTCCTGTACAATAAAGATATATCTTTCTATTTTTCTAGTTTTTTTCACTGACTGCAAAAATGGTTTGCCAGAATAACCTAAAAATTATTTTATGTGATAATAATCAACTTTACTGATTTAGTTCAACTCAAATAGGTATTTTCAATAAAGCAATGCAAAGCAAATGTGTCATTTAGATGAATAAAAATCAATATTTTACTTTCCAAACCCCAAAACACTTTAATTCAATTTCTGCTCTGTTTCACTTTTTACAATTTTGTTTACAAGATCAGCCAAACAAGAACAGGTACCACTATTGGGCTGCTAGTGTTAGCCTACCTTATTGATGCCGCTGTGTGGAGTGGTGCAGAGAAGCCTGTAGCAATATAAGGAAGAGCAGAATGAATGGAGTATACAAGAATAGATAACATACTCAAAGCTCGCTTTTTTCTTTAAAAATTAAGAAATCCAGTCCATGATTGTTATTCATTCAGACAGATGAGAGTATTTATTTATTTATTTATTTTTTTTTTTTGCTGCACTGCCAGTAGTATAGTATATAATACTATGGTGTACAGTACATAGTATATAGCATATAGTACAAAAGGATGACACTTTATTTTCTGTGGCCCTGTTTAGATGAATCAAACACTCAACAGACTCATAGTAACATGTCAAAAACAAATGAGGGTTAGGATTAGGATTTGGGTTGAGGTTAAGGTTAGGGTTAGGTTTAGGATTAGAGCCAGGGTTAAAGTAAGGTTGGGTAGGGTTAGGTTTTGCATAATGGAAGTAACATATTAACAATACATCTGTTTTACGTACGTAATGTATCAACAGAACATCAGCTACGAAGGACCACTCCAAATAAAGTGTTACGGTACTAAAATGTAGTATTAAAAAGTATAAAAATAAATAGAATGTAAAAAAAATAAAATGTAAAATGTAAAAAATATATATGTTAAGTTTTAACACATTAACATTTAGAAGACTTGTGAAGAAAAGAAAAGAAAATTCAAAGTATTATTATGTATCTTGAGTTACCTCTAGTGCATTTATTAAAAAATGTCCTGCTATTGGTTGGTATTCATGTCATCCCAATCTAGTGTTAGAGTAAGATTAAGAATAGCAAGCAAGACAGCTAATCAGCCAATCTTGTCTCTGCTGCTTGTCTTGGTTACAGCAGTAAAGTCTGGTAGTTTGATGCAAAATCCTTTCTAAAACAGTCTGTCAAGTTAGTGACCATGTTCACTTTCTGAATTTGTGCTCTGGTTATTGTCTCTTTTGATCAAATTTAATACAATAAAATAAAACTCTTGTACATAATGCAAGATTTTTTTTTCAACATTTATAACATCCCCTGTACTATAGGCCTTGCATGACAAGTACCAAGCAGCGGATGGTGCAGGCTTGCCGAGATTCCTAGATTTTTTTTTTTTTTACCCTTAATAGGCTAGATCCTTCATTAATGTTAGAATACCAGGCAATGTCAGCACAAGAACAGTGTTTCCTTGTTGTAAAACAAAACAAAAAACCTGCAGTCCTCTGCTGATATGCCCCAAATATTTGTAACTACTTACCTATTATTATTTAGCAATGACCAACTTCACTTGCAGTAGACAACATATTTATTTATGCTTTATCTAGCTGCAGGATTTTTGGAAGTAACTGTTATACAATATAAAAATGGTTTGCCAGTTCAACCAAAAAACAAACAAACAAAAAAACAATGTGGTAACAAGTAGTTTAAACGATTGTATTCAACTCAAATAAATACAGCAAACATAAGAGTAAAAGTAACATTTTTATTTAGATTTATGAAAGCAATATTTACATCTATTGAAACTTCTTTTACATTTTATGTTTACATTTACATTTTACAGTGTAGTTATGTATTTATAGTAATTGCTGCTGTTGGCATGAAATAGGTCAACTAAAGTACATACCTGTAGTTGTGGATGCCACCGTCCTTAAGCAAAGTGTGAATTTAAAAGCAAAGTGTGAATTTATAGCAACTGGGGTAGTGGGTGTGTGACGTAGAAAGAAAGATAAACCAGAAAGTGAAAATAAGAGAAGAACAGGTTTTATGGTTTTATGGTTTCCGTAGAATGTATGCACGCATGGGAAAAGGAAGGGGGTGAGAATAGTTAGACTAAGCTGGAGATTTTATATCATGAAATTGTACATTTTCATCATCGTTAGTGGCAATTTAGCAGATGGAAGAGGGACTTTTATCTGAAAGAAGTCAGGCTTTTATAGATGGGGTATTTATGTAACTTTTATTTATGTAAGCATGCTTACGTGGAAAGTTTTTCATGTAGGTGGAAAAAGATAAAACACAACACAGATAAAATTGTTTTTCATTATGTATCAGCTGATATACTTTTCAAAAATATATTATATCCAAAATATATATGTGCCATGCAGAGCGGATGAGGATCCTGAGTGACAGTGGGAGGAGTACGTCAGCCAACAAAGAGCAAACTCCGAACTCCGCCGCCCAGGCCCCGCCTCCAGTTCGGCAGCGAGGCCGCTAGACTACACCTTATGTTCAACCCCAGCAGAGAAGCTGCAGAGCAGGGGCAGTAACGAGGAGGCGGAGCAATAAGCTCTCTGTCCCTCTAGGCTCAGAGAGCTCATTGGTGTCAATGAGGGCAATAAGCCGTTTCCTGTCTATGCTGCACTCAGCCTAAAGTCACCATTGTAGCACAGTGGGTGGATGCATGCCGTCTCTCTCTTGCCAGGCTCCACACGGGCACCACTGCTGTCTTCCCCAGCCAGCCTCCTTGCTCTTGGCTGCCTGTACCAGTCCAGTAGGGGGCAGGCATAATGTTTAGTCTTACCCCTACATTGGGCTGTGTCTTCTTTGCCATCTGCCTTTGTGTTTATTGATGTGCCGCTTAACCTCTTCCAGCTCGGCGGTCCCCTCTTGCTTCCACACCAATGTAGCATCAGCGTAGGAAAAGACACGGAAACATTGCACGTACTAGCAAAAGCTCTTTATTGAACAGACACTTCAACAGACAGCAAGAAATGCCCAGCCCAGTGCCAACCCCAATATGAAACATGGGGAGGGGGTCACACAGGAGGACACAACAATCAAGAAGGGTAAACACTTTTAACTACTATTTAACTTCAAAGCCCACCCTCCTGGGACACAGTTTATTCCAAGCAATACAACCACACCAATAACAGCAACAACATCAGCAAAAACAGCAACAATGAGCATCCTTCTTACCCAGGAGTGTGGGGCTCTCCGAGAGCCACTTTGCATGACCACATCCCTTAAGCTCCTCATGGGATCATGGTCCATGGTGGAAGCCAGAATCCGGAAGCCAGTTTTAATGCCTAAGAAAAAACTTTGTAAAATCAAAAATCAAAAATATTTTCTGAACATTTATATGATAGCTGATTCACCACTGGTGTTATGCCTGATTATCAAGATTAGGCTACACCATTTTACATTAAGATGAAAGATTGATAAGATTGGTCATTTTTGTTGTATTTGTAAAATTTGTGTTAAAGGATGAGCCTGAGAGTAAAGCACGGAATGACTTTTATTTCTGGGCAATGTTCTTCATATAACATAAACCACACAGAAAAAATGTCATTGCTTACGTGAACCCCACTACTTTCAACTCAGCATAAGTATTGAAACAAATGAATGACATGTAATTCTGATTGATCAAGTGTTCCATGGTCCTTTAATTGTGAACACATTAAGGTGCTGTGAATGTGTAGTCATTGCGCTTTTAAACTGGTAAACTGCATCAACAGAATTCTGTACAAAGCAAACCAGCTGAAAGATTGTGAATCTACCATTCTTCAGCTTTTCCACAGAACTCTAGAGAACTAGTACTGCAGGAGGACTATTACACAATAGCCATGATCACATGCTCAAAAATCGTTAGTCTATAATTTTTCAGTCTTTCCTCACAGGACTCCAGAGAACTGCTCTTGCAGGATAAATATTACACAAATGCCATGATAACTTGCCTGACGAGGAAGCAGCATTCCACCTGAAGGTAGTATCTGTTGCAAGAACCGACTTCCAAGTAAGTTCTCTTCCTGCTGTTTATCTGCTAATACTCGTGATCTTTGATGAATTGTGAAACTGATAAAGGCATTGACAGTGGGGGGGTTTACTGTAGTTTAAGATCACAGTCCAATAAACATGAGTCAAAATGTTTTTCAAACACAATAAAGCACACATGATGATTTAGTGATCACATTGCTGCCTAGTACATATAATCATGATAAATACAAAATATTAATGAAAAATCAAAGTGATATTTATGAGATGAAATCCCTTCAAGTATCTCTGTTTTAGTTGCATGGCCCCTGTGAGACACAAGCTAACAAAATAATGCAAAACACAAAGAGTAGTCTTGTTACTATTGTTCTGGGTGTTGGTCTTCCATTCTCAACAGCCTCATGCCTTTGTTGATGTTAGTTAAATTTAAATGTGCTATTTTTGCTATTTAAAATTCATTTTGTTTCAAATGACTTCTGACTGACATAGAATAAAAAAAAAAAAGTTATGTAAAACTATTACATATACGTAAAATATTGCATTACATTACGTTAAATAACATCTTTTCAAATCTGTTCATAGAACAAAGAAGTAAAAGAACATTACAGTGGTTTTAACTGTGTACATTTATGCCAGGAATTTCCTAAATACAAACAGCAAGTTAAATGTTCCACCAGGGAAGGGAAAACTTTAAACCACTGCTATGTGACTGCTAAGGACACTTTCCATGTCACCCCCTGTACCTCCTGGGAAACTCTGATCACTCAATGATTCACATTATTTCTGCTCATAGACAAAAGACTGAAACCTGAGTAACAGTCAGGAGGACAGTGAAAAGGTGGACTGGTGAGGCAGCAGAAGAACTGCAGGAGTGTTTTGACTGTGCAGACTGGAATGTTTTAAACCGCCACCAACAATATTAATGACTGCACAGGCACTATAACTTCAAATTAATGCCTTTATAACAAAACCTTTTATCTCCAACATGGTAACCTTACAGGAGAAGAAAAAGCATTCTTAACTCGTTAATATAATTATTGAATTGTGTGTATCTTTGTTGTATAGGAAGAAATGAAATGATTGAAATGTTCAATTCCAGAGTTTTACATTGTCTCTTAAAGAAAAAACGTCACAGATGCTGTGAATTCTTAGACTATCTCTTCAGATTATTTGATCACTTGTTCTAATCCACATCACACTTAATTTCCTCTCTTGTGTATTTTGAGCTAGGATCATAACTGACTGTTTATTTTGAACAAATTAACTCCAGAAGTGATGTCTTTTATAAATTTTCAGCACCTGGGAATCAGTTGTGATTGATCTATTTATACAAAATCAGCAGTTTGTCTGTAAAGTCATTAATTAGAAATTGTGGTGAATGAATGCATTCTGTTTTTAAACAAGGCCAAAAACTGTTCATGTTTTAATGTAAACAGGGTGCTGTTGTGCTAACTTGTGAACAGTTCTGAAAAAAGTGAACTCAGTACTGAAAAAGCTTGTTAGCAATTATAAAAAACACTGTAATGAACTTACAAATAAACATAGTTATATTCAAAAGTTGCATAATCATGAGACTAAAATGAACTAAATGACTAAAATGACTAAAATGAATAAAGCTACATTCACCTATAGCTGCAAATGCATTTGCATGCCTCCCTGTAAAGAGATTTGATGTTGTCGCTCAAGGCAGCAAACTACATGTCACACAAACTCAAATAGATCTGTGAAATGCATGTTTTTAACAGCTTGTTTTATGATTCGTTATAACATGAAATACATAATATGCTTTTGATATTCTACAGTGACAGAATGACCATGAATAGCATACAGTCTTTGGCAAGATCAGTGCAATGCGGCTTAAAGTTCAACACATTTGAACTTTTGCTGCAGTGCAGCCCGGCATCACATCGCATAGCTCAATGAGGGCGGCAAAATGAATATGAATAATAAATAAACAGTGTGTAAAAAATGACATCATGGAACATTATTATTAAATTCTAAAACATAAAATAACATAAAATCCAAAATAATTAAGTCAGTATAATTTTGTATCAAATTAAGCCTTACGTGAAATCACTGCACAAGTTTAAATACTGACCACATAAAATAATTGCAAGAATGAAATGAGTGTACCTGGTTAGAAGGACACATACACACACACACACACACACACACACACACACACTTCCTTTTTTCCTCTGGAGTTACCTCACAGGACTCCAGAGAACTGGTATTGCAGGTTAACTATTAAACAATAGCCATTATAACATGCTTAAAGATCACAAGTCTTTCATTCTTCAGCCTCAGTCTGTCCTCACAGGACTTCATGGAACTGGTATTGCAGGATGACTATTACACAACAACCCATGATAACTTGCCCACGGGGGAAGCAGCATTTTACCTGAAGGTAGTGTCTGTTGCAAGAACTGTCTTCCAGGTAAGTTCTGTTCCTGCTCTTTATCTGCTAGTACTGGTGATCTTTAATGAATTGTGAAAGTGCAAAAGGCATTGATAGTGGAGGTCAACTGTAGTTTGATATCACAGTCCAATACACAAACCAAAATGTTTTTCCAACACAATAAAGAACTATAAGTAATATATTAATAAAGTGATCACACTGCTGCCTAGTACATCTAATCATGATCAATAGAAAATACTAAAGAAAAATCTATTTTTTTTTTTTGGCAGACTAGCTGAACCAATTCTATGCACATCAGTCACAGGTGCCATCATGAAAACTCATAGCTTAAATGTGAACTAAGTTAAATCAATTAAGTTGTCAGTACCTAAAAAAGTAAAACACGCACACACTTACCTACTGCATGTTTGATTAAAATGAGAGCATAATTAGTTCTAGATAATAGGGTTTAACGCAGCACAGTATATGAAACAATAAATACAACTAATATAAATTACTACAAAATATTTAAATAAATAATCATTATTACTTTTCTTTTTCCTTGAACAAGACAATGGTTCCCAGAAAATGGGTCCCAGAAAGGGTCAAAAAATGGTAGGTAATATCACCAAAAAGTTTTGTTACATACATAAAGTCGGACACATTTGAAATGCACACATTTGGAATAAACATTTGCAAGTGAACATGTACTTATAGTTTTTTATGATTGCTTATGATTGCTTTTCAAAACAGGGCTCATTTTGTCCAAACGCTTCACACAATTCACAATTCATTCAAAACTATGCAACAATTTATAAAAACCCAATTTTGTCACCGTATGGCGCACAGTTCATACTATCTGATTCTTGTCCAATTTACTAGGGGTCACCTGCGGAGGGTTTTCTCCGGTTTGCACCCAGGTGGTGCTTGTAGGAGTGCCCCTTTTGTCCAGCAATGTGGCAACTCTGGGCATGCTTCCTGTCATGCCTCTGGTTGTGTGGGAGGTGGTCGTCATGGTCAGCCTCGCTCCTTGGCTGTATTTAAGCCCAGGCTTTAGTATAGATTCTCTGAGCATTTCCATCTGTTATATTGCCTTCATGTTTTCCTGACCATGTTTTTGGACTTCCTGCCTTTGTGTCTTTGCCCTGTTTGGATCTGGTTTTCACATGGATAATTGAATAATCAGATCACTGCCAAAATCCAATAATGATCATATTACTGATGTTCATATAAGTGCACTTAGTAAGCATCAATGTTTCACAATGTTCATTTATCAGTTGCACAGTAGTGTTTTTTCATTGGGCCCTACCTGAGCCCAAAGGACAATTTATGGCATGTAATGAAAGTGGTGGGCAGGCATGGCTGAACGGGGATGTTGAGGGCTTTGACTGGACAATGACTGATAAAACTGCCTGCTGCTTCTCATCTATTATGCCTGTAACAGTGGCAGAGTTAGCACTCCAATACAAGCAGTATACCAGAGGAATATGACAATGCAATAAAATTTTATCACTGGCAATATCAGAGTGGGTAATCGGGAGAGTCAGGGGAATTCCCAGTGGGCTGGTAGCATTTTGGACCAGTTACAATCAGCTAATGTTTAAAATCACACATAAGTACAAGAAAGCTCAAACTATAAATGTTACATCTCAAGTGTACATATTAAGGGTATCTCATTTAGGGGTTACGCCAGCTGCAACCACTTCAAGTGAGACAGCCCTGGTTTGCTGAGTCTCATACTGTGGACAGAGATTAGAAAAAGCTGAAGTAAGCTTCTTATGTTATTTCCCAATCCACCTTAAATGATATAGCTATGTTCAGATGCCCCTATGGGTGCTGACGTGCACCTTCTGCATTACTTAAGGTTGAACAGAAAATAAATGAAAAAAGAATAACAAGCTGACATCAGCCTCTAAAGATTAGCATATCAAATTCAACGTAACTATGTGAATCTGGCCACAATCTCATTCAATCTGGTGCTGGCTAACACAACAGGGAGTGCACTACAGAGTTTATTACATTTTTTAAAATGTTTTTTTCAAGGCTTCAGTTAATTATCACACAGCAGTTTTGACTCTGAAGCTCCAGTTGTGTTAAAAAATGTAACTGTGGACATTTAAAAGTATATCTGCTCCTTAAAGCATGTCATTTTCTAACCATCCAGAGCTGAAAATAAATGTAAATGTCAAAGCAAACATTTAATATTACTTCAACGCATCGAGTCATTACAGGTAAGACATTAGTTGTAGCAGCAGTAGTAGTGTTAATAGAAATATCTGTCATGTTCTGGATCAGAACAAGGTATATCCAGAGAGTCTGTCTTCTTTCAGTTGACTCAGTGATCCCAGCAGTCCAATCATGACTAACAAAAGCAGCACCATCAATATGAGGGCACACATGTGTGAGAGAGAAAGTCTGCAGCCATAAAATGAACAGCAAGTAACAAAATGCTCACCAACATGCACCAACAGTGGAAAACCCCAAATGTTGATGGCAAAGCCTCAATCACAGCAAGCTACAGACAGGAATGGTTGCTTTACGACTACACAGAAAGCATAAATTTCCCTAAAATGTTATCATGACACAGCACTGCAATGGTTAACAAAAACTGGTGTCTAGTTTATAATATTATGATCTACATCTACATTGTAATCTACATAATAAACTTCCAAAAAATAAACTAATATTGACCCGTGCCTCCTCTGTGTCAGAATACACCAGAATGAACCTGACGCGAACTGATAACTCACTACAAACAATGAACTAAACCATGACAGTGAAAGTAAAGTGCACAAGTATGTGACTAACAAGGATCACACATGCCTTAATAACAGTTAGTAAAGGATACTCACTTCATTCACATACACATCATCACACGATAAAATTAATGGACGCTGCTGTTAGTTTCTCTGGAAGGTCCATTGTGCAGAAACTCCTACAGAATCTTTAATATTAAAAGATAAACTAAAATAACTAAATATGTACTACTCACTGTTTGTGTCTCCTGTATTGGGGAAGTACCTGTGTAATTGTGCAGCCACAATTGGGATGAATTTAGATGAAGCTTAAAATAGTAATATGATTCACACATCAGATCACTCACCATACTCTGCCCTCACCATCCAGAGTGATTTCATCCACCTGCGACCATCCATCAGCCAGCAATCCAGCTCCAAAATCACCCACACCCCACTCGCTACTGTTCAATTACATCTCTGCTTTTGGCCTTCAAAAAAGGCCATGAAAGACGATAAAAGGCGATAAAACTGCAGTGTCCCATTCAACACAATGAGGGCACTTTCCCTCTTTCCCTCAAAACCACACAAACAGGCCCTAAAACACATTTTAACAGATAAATAACAATAAATATGATAAATATCATTATAAAATGAATAATATCTAGCTCTGTCTTCCAGTTTACATTGATTTTGAGTATTAAACATATCTGATATTAAATATGCAACTTAATTTGTAATTAAAAATAAAGCTTGTCTTGCCATGTATCAGAGTTTTAGCCCTCAGCATGAATCAAAGAGGACAGAAAATCAATGAATGTCCACCTTATGCTAATTGTTTATTTTGGCTCATAATAACCAATAGAATGAATCACCATCAAAATTCTTTCACTTTAAGCTCACAGACACTCCACAATTTCTGAAAGGGTATCTGAGGTGCAGCTTGTTTTCAAGATCTCTATAGGCAAAAAATTACAAAATTTACCTAGCAGGCGTTGATCAGAAATGACCCAAATCCATAAAGATACCAAATTTCTGTTAGCATTTACATGTCAAATAATGGCATATCTATATAGGCCAGGGTCTCCTGAAAATAACAACATATGGCATGTGTGATAATCTCATGTTAACACTTTATAATTGCAATTGTAATTGTAATTGATCCAAAATGCCAAAAAGAAAAAAAAACAAAATTCTAGGGTATACAACAATTTGCGGGCCAAACGGTAGGTCACTTCTAGCCTTCATAACTTCGGAATGGTTTAAGAAACAAACATGGTCCACATATGAGGACATTCAGCAGACCCTAAATAGCAAGCATGACATCATCGAGCTATGACGTCAGTATCAGTGAGTAATTTGGCTCGGAAAATCACCTAAAATCTTGATATTATTGCTCTACTGTTTGGCCTTCATATTCCAACAAAGGGTTAATGTCAGACTTTCTTGCCATAGCCACAATGTCATTACCAAGTCAAAGGGTGGTCTAGGAGCGCTGTTTGTCACTGTTATCCCTAGTTTTCTTTTCATTCATTAACCATCCAGTATCACAGCTAGTTATTGTCAAGTGTTGTGTGAAGTAAATGTGTTTTATAACAGTGAATGCCGAGTACACAGAGGTCAGGTACAAGGACTGGACAAGTTTACTGGAAAAGACAACAGTAACAATACAATGCAATATTTCAAACAATCTGAACAGAACAATGAACAGTGTGACCCGAATAAGCTGGTTTCAGTTGATTATCAGCATTTAGTACCATGTTATCACAGCTTAATTAATGCTTATTATTGGGTCTTTTGTGTTAATTATTGTAAAGTGGATCATATTATCTAGTAAATTGTTAATGGTAAATGGAATATAATGGAATATCTTTTTAATAACACTCCATATGAATTCTACGATTTCACATTACGTCCTAATAAACACTGATTACACATTTTGCAAAGACTTCACTGCTGATTATTAATTGATTTTGATTAATTAATGAATTCTAAACATTTTGTAGAACTTATGAAGAACTCTTTGAAGCAGATATTAGCCAGGCATAAAGTTAATGTGAAAAGTCAATTCAAGCACAGCCCCACAAATACAGTGTACACACCTTATATAACATAGAACTTCTCAAATAAAAAAGCAAGAAAAAGAAACTTTTGCTCATGTGAAGTAATTTTGAGTTATTTTTAGTTTATCTATCATTTATGTTTCTAATCTTTAAAGAGACACCAAATCAACCATCCTGAAGGCAAACAAGAATTCCACACTTTCGATTCTTTCAGATTTCAATCCCAGTGAAGCAGTCAAAACAATAGGCAAAAGCACCCAAAACTCATATTCTGTATTTTCAGTACACTCAAAATGATGATTATTTGTTATTTCTCTAATACATGAAAGGAACTTACGGACTACCCAGATGCAAAAAGACTGATATTTGGAACATTTTTTAAATATTGTTGATTTTTTGATGTGTGATTTTCCTTCACTGATCAGATTCATCCAAGCTTGGACTTTTGAATATCTTTAATAACATTCTGAATCTCCTTGAGCAGTTTCTCTTTATTGTTTTTGATGTTTTCACCAGCTTTCTCCATAAGATCTGTGATGTCCTTAAGACTGTAGTTCCTTTTAGAAGTGGGATATCTTTTCCACCACTCCTCAACTTCTCCTGAGGAAACAGACATTTACTGCTTAGAGCACTGCTTCATTTCTGTTACTTCACAATCCACATAGTGCAGTATATTACCATTACAGTGAAACCAGTTACATAAAAGAATGTGTATTTTCAGTGTGCTGGAGTTACCATTGCAGTTAACGACATTGAAAAGAGGCATGTGAATCACAGTTGGAGCATCACTGTATCCTCTGAATACATAGAAGTCCTTTGGTTCTGTATCTTCAGCAGGTACAACAACTTTAGGGAAAGGAATCTGAAGGGCTTTGCACAATTTAGCAGCCTGAACCACTGTCTGCAAAAAAACAACACACAAAAAAAAAACAATTCTCTATTTAATTTTTACTTCTGCAAATTCTGATAGAATCATATGAAAACTAGTCAACCCAGGAATGACTTGTTTACTTTAAGAAGTCTGAATGACAGAAGTTGATGTGAAGTGTTGGTTTACATCTGAACTGATGTAAAATATTTATTTTGTTTACCTAAAATAAAATTTTGCTCTCCTTGTTTCATTCAAAGTATTTATTTGAGTTCAATGAAACCAATAAAGTGCTTAATACTACATAAATAACAGTTTTTAGGTTGTACTGCCCTAAAACTATTTTTACTGTTGTCATTAGGTCACCATTTTTGTTCTTTTTTTGTGTAATCCAATATGCTACATGAGTCTGACTCTTTCCATAAAACAAAAGCTTAAAAAAAAATAATAAATAATCTAAAACCGTCTGCTGCCCTGGGTTATTTACATGGCCATAGTTACAATGACCATGTGGCCTCAAATGCACACACACAGTCCTGATCAGGCAGAAGTAGAGTTTTTATAGCTTTTAGCTCCATCTGAATATATTCTTTTAAATCTGTCTTTGGTTAATGATAATCAAGTCAATCATCTTTATGATTATTGAATTTACATATTTACAGTCAAGTTGCTAGCATTTTACAAGCTGGCTGCAAAACCAAGCAGAAAAGAGGAATGCAGGGCATAGTTTTCTGTTTCTGAATAAATAATAATCATAATAATTATAATAATAATAACCATAATAATATATTTTACTCATGAACTAAGTATGATTATTATTAAGATAAATGGATGTGAGTTGGTACAATTAAAAGTTTATACTTAACCTAATACCACAATATTAGAATTAGAAATTTGCCCATTGTTGTATTTTCCTATACAAGAAAAGTTTGATATGAACTCTTCCTAAAGTGCCCACACAATTTTATAGTAAACACTAAAATGTTTCCCCAACTATGTAAGTGAATTAGCTAGCTACAACCTTGTGAAGATACAGAATAACTTACTTCACTTCAAATCTTTCAGCTGGAAAACAGCATGTTTTGAAAGGCAAAGCATTGTTTGTTGATTGGTAGTGATTCATCAGAGGTGGAAAGTAATGAATTATATTTCCTCTCGTTAAAGTACTTGAGTACATTTTCTCTGTAATGGAACTTTGAGTAGAATGAAATCATATTGATTTTACTCTTACTTGAGTTTGTTTCTAATCAATTTCCAATTTTTTACTTCGGTACTTTATGTTCACACCGGGAACAAACTTTATCCAAACTTTAACTTCTTTTGTTTTCAACTCAACTAAAGAAAACAGCATTATCGTCAGTTGCCATATGCAGCCCCTGAAACCTGACAAAATCTCTGCTTTTCACTACTCAACTTCCACTCTGAGGGAGCAGCTGTTAGCTGTCTGCTAAATAATCCTGGCAATAAATGTCCTATTTTCCTCTTACTTTGTTATTTTAGCATAACATGGCAGCTATTTATTAAACTTATTAAACTTAAATATGTTTTATTGCAAGTGTCTGTCACTAGCCAGCTTCAGTTAATGTTGGTGTCAGTTTACACACATAAAATACAGTTTGATGCAGTGTTGGAGGAATACGGCCATTTAAGTTTGTGAAATGGGTAATCTAGCCTAATAGAGGCTCTCCATGATCTTTGAACCATCATTCTGTCATGCTCAGATTTGATTGCCTTGTTTTTTTTTTTTAAGACTTAACAGTGATGTGCACAAAACAAATATCACCTCAAGTGTGAAAGGAGCCATAAGCATAGATAATGTGGGCATTAGGGGTGAAATACACTGAAACACTGACATACATGCTCACTACTTGCACATACACAAAGAGGTGGATGGTAGACACAAACTGAAGTAAATGTATTACTATTTCAAGATAATAATTACTCAAGTAGAAGTAGTCATTTAAAGTATTCTTTAAGTAAAAGTAAGAAAATATATAGTAAAAAGGCTACTCCAGTAGTTACTTTATCAGATCTCAATTAAAAATCAAAATAGAACTGCAAAATCATGGCCTTATCTACGCTTATTTAATAACTTCTCTAATAACTTATCTACAAGTGCCTGCTTTACTTTTGGGAGAGAGGAAACATGCATTTATGAGCTTTGCGTTCCTCATAGAAGGCTCCATAGCTGATGGCAATTTTCACATTCTATATCCTCTTAATTGAGTATATGTCTTCAGTTTGTTGGCATGAGCCCTCTGATCGAAAAATACAACCAGAAAAAGCCCACAAAGACTCAAAATAGACTCATAAAAGCCCCCTCAAATTCAAATACAAAAATAAGGTAGAAAAGGCACTGGAAAACAAACTCAGCATTACAAACCGCTAAACTGTGAGATTAATTCATGCTCAGTGGTCACTATTAACATTACTAACGTATCATAGCTAAAGTAAAACAACTTTTAACATTAGCGTCATGCATGATCGCTAGTTAGCCACAGTACCTGCCACTGTTAGATGTAGATTTTTTTTCCGGGCAGTTGTGGGCCGGAGGTTAGGGAACTAGCCTTGCGACTGAAAGGTTGCTGGTTCGATCCCCTGAGCCGACAGGACATGACTGAAGCGCCCTTGAGCAAGGGACTTAACCCCCACTGCTCCCCGGGTGCCGTGGATAGGGCTGCCCACCGCTCTGGGCAGGTATGCTCACTGCCCCCTAGTGCATGTGTTCGCTAGTGTGCATGTATATTGGTGTTTCACTCTTCATTCTTCTGTGTGCAAGCACAGTTGGCCAATGGTTCTGAATTCTATTACATTTTCTATTCTTTGAGCCATTGCTGTTCAGCAACGCACTGAAATCAGTAGTTCTACCACTGAGCTCACCGCTGTTAACAACTGTGGTATCTGTAGTTTACACTATACATATGACCACGTTTGATTGGTCAAGTGAAGTCATGTAAGATACTTTTGAGTGGTGAACGGAGCTATCTAAGATGCGTTTGAATGAAGCACACAAAATGTGCGTTGAATTAAAAAATATTTAAAAATGTAACGTGATGAATGTAGATGAATGTAAAAGCACATTTTGACCTCACAAATGTACTCAAGCAAAATAATGTTTAAAAGTACAATTTGTTCAAAACGTTATGTAAGTAAATGTAACAGAGTAAATGTAACATGTTACTACCCACCTCTGCACACACTACTTGCACATAAACACAGGTACCCTGACTAAGGTCATTGGTGTGTGCACAATAATGCCCGGAAAACATTTCATTGACAGATTTTTTACAAAATAAGAGCATTTTGAGCAGCAATGCTTTTGGGGAAAAATTCCTTTCAACCTCTTAAGGATGAACGAACAGCTGTTCCTGTTAATTTAATCAGCTTTTTCATCTTTGTTCTGCCTTTCAGGTGGAAGCAGTGAGGATAATTTTTTAAATTTTTCCACCATCTTTTATGCTGAGTAGATTGATAGATAATCTGGGTTTATTTTGAAAAATCCTTATTTTTGTTTTGTTCATATTTCCTGGAAGGGTCCGATCTTTACAGTGAGTCTCCAGTATTGAAAGGTTCTGTTGAAGTGTGTTTGTTGGTGCTAATATTACAAAATCATCTGCGTTCATTAGACATTGTATGTCTCTCACTCTCTCTCAAAACACAACCTTTCTCATATTCTGTTTCTCTCTCTCTTTCTCTCTGTCTTAAAATGTAGTCCTTCCCTCTGTTTCTCTCTCTCTCAAACACAGCTTCTCTCACATTCTCTGTTTCTCTCTCTCTCAAACTGCAGTCTCTCTGTCTGTATGTCTTCAACTGCATGAGAGTCTGTTTAGCTGTTTAAGATTTCTGATTGTATATAGACTAATCATGATTAGAACGCATGAAATAAACTGCAGCTGTTCTTGATTTCAATGGTAGAAATGTTCTACATGGATCAGTGAATTTATACAGTTTGAAGGCTGTGAACATAATATTTACTGTTTATAGACATTATTCAAGGACCTAATAGGCAGCACAGTTCACAGAAAGATGTATTAATGTGCAGTAGAGGTGCATACTGTGATCGTGACTACAAACGTTTTGTGAAATCATTGTGTGCTTTAGTTTTGATTATTTATTTATTTGTACATATACATATATATCTTTATACTTTTATTGTTTATTCTATGTTATATATTGTTTGTATATTTCCTGCTGCTCTGTCTTCTGTGCTGCTGTAACACCGCAAATTTCCCTGTTGTGGGATTAATAAAGGATTATCTTATCTTATCTTATCTTATTTTGGTGATGTGGCCAAAGCAGCTCAGAAATATTTACAGTTGGTTATGGCAGATAAACAAAAAACCCAACTCAATTACTCAAGTCATCTAGCAAACTACTTATTTACTCTTCCTTGTGTAATTTTCTCTACTAATACTTTTAAAATGACTCTTGCTCTTAATTTTGCCACCCCTGATTAATACCTCACTACAAAGCTGAGATTTTATCTCTGTTTTCTTTGATTTTGCTCTGATCTTTGATCTGAAAATCATGTAGAGCCTCATGCTAGTCAGCTCTGCAAATACCTCAAAGGGATTTCCTGAACTGTAGTCAAGGGAAATGATGAGCTTGATGTCTCGTTCTTCTCTCAGCACTGAGAAATAGGGTGAGTTGAGTAACAGTCCAGCATCTTCATATTCTCTCTCCTTCGAGTTAAGGACACTGGGGTCGACATCTTTTACTGTTGACACAGTCAAGCAATACGTCATAATTATATTAAAGCTGTCATATAGGTTAATTGGTGTATTCTGTTAATATATTGATTATTATGTTTCCACTCCTATTCTCTTGACTTTGCTGTTTCTGCCATAAAAAAGTTCTAGGACGATTAAATTGGCAACCTGGATCACAGACTCCTAGAACTGTCAGAGAACTGTCAGAACTGCTTTCAGAATTATAGACACTGATCTTCCACAAGTTTATGCACCCCATGCCTTCCACCCAATTCATGCCCCATTACTCCATCTTCCCTCTGGCAAACACTTCCAAAGCATCACTGTGTGTACCACCTGCCTCAGGAACAGCTTTTTTCCCCCAAGCCATATCAGGCCATACAGCTAACACTGACTGACTGTTTCTCCCTATTTATTTATATTTATACTGTATTTAATGCATCTTACAACTAGTCTAGTGTGTATATATCTTGCTCCACTGTCCTTCTTATATGTGCAAAACCTCCCTCCTTTGTTGTCCCCAGTGTACTTCTATTTCTACAACCCAGTTTCGCCAAATGTTTTCAGTGGGTGACAGGAGCCATGCTGTCATATGCATGCCATGCATATGTGCAGAGTATAGTTTGACTTTGTCTTGCTGAAATATGCAAGATTTTTCCTGAAAAAGCGTAATCTGAATGGCAGCATGTGCTGCTCCAAAACTTGGATATATACCATTCAGCATTAATGGTGCCTTCACAGATCTGCAAGACACCCATGCCATGTTCACTAATGCACCCCCATATGGATACTGCTTTTGAACTGTCATTGACAACAAGCTGGATGGTACCTCTCCTCTTTAGCCCAGAGAACATGGCATCCATGATTTCCAGAAAGAATTTTACATTTTAATTCATCAGACCACAGGACACATTTCCACTTCTCCTCAGTTCATCTTTAATGAGCTCAGGTCCAGAGAAGGTGGCGGTGTTTCTGTATCCTGTTTATATGTGTTTTCTTCTTTGCATGTTAGAGTTTTAACTTGCATTTTTGAACCACAGACAGTGGGTTTTGGAAGTGTTCCTGAGCCCATGCAATGATTTCCACTACAGAATCCTGTCTGTTTTTTAATGCAGTGCTGTCTGAGGGCCCTGAAGACTCAGTCTTGAATCTTTCTTGAATCTTGAAGGGCAGGTGGCATATGTTTTGTCTGGGTGTGTCTGGGGCTCTTCAAACTGTTACCTTTTGTTTTTTGTATGCCTTTTGTTTGTTTTATATTTGTCCTTTAACTACTTGCTTATCCTACTGTAACAAAATGTTCCAGTTCATATTTACATGAATGTCTTTTTGATTTTGTACTTATGCTTATGAATATATACTTTTTGTTCACAAGTCAAAAGGCATTATGAGAGTAAAACTGTCGTGGATATATATACTGGAAATATATTAAATGACAAAAAGTGTCTGAATACTTTAGGGTTCCTGTGGATCCTTAAAGTTGAGTCAAACTAGATTTACAAAAACAATTTTAAGGTAGTACAATAATGTTTAATTGTTACTATTAGAGATATTAAATTTAGAGATTCCAGCATATTTTATGGGCAAGAAATTGGTTGAAATATGCCTCATCTATTTCTTATCCTTTGTTTCATTTTTACTTTGTATAATTTACTGTTATAGAAGTGCCACAGACAGACTTTATCCACAACCTGAAGATTGGCCCTTTGCAGATAAAACTGGACACCCTTACTCTATAAAATGTTTATTTTGAAAAATTAAGCAAAAAATCTAAACGTATTGGTCATTTGGGCAAACAATGTGTGCGTGTGTGTTTTGGGGACAGGGGGTTTATCTTACTGACATGATACACAGATCACAGCGATCAGCAGACCCTGCCCTGTGTAGCCAGAGTGAGATCACTGAGGTATGATACAGCACAGGAAGTAATCTGGCTCGAAAAACAACCTAAAATCCACTTGTGATTGAGATATTATATCTCTGATTTTAGGCTTCATAACTCAAAAACCATGAAACGCACATATATGATACACATATCAGAACACTCTAGATTGGTTTCACTGACCACTGACCACCAGAGAAGTATCAGTGAGTAGTCCAGCTTGAAAAATGACTAAAAACCCGCTCAGTATCCTGATATGATGATGTGACTCATGCAGAGAGAGAGAGAGAGAGAGAGAGAGCTGTGAGCTCTGATCTGTTGAGTCATTCAGTGCATTAGACTCATTCTAACAATAATATGTGAACTTATAGAAAATAATATTCTGTTACCTTTTAAGTTCAGTTGATTTGTAATTTGATTCAACTTGATTTGATCAAGGTCAGTTTGATTCAATTGATAGCAAATGTACTAATCTTGCCCTGAACAAAATATTCCTGCCTGCCTTGCTGGAGAGCAAAGTTTTAGCACTCAGCATGGATCCAAGAGGGGATAAAATCAATGAAAAACATGCTAATTATTTATTTTTACTCAATAAAAAATAATAGAATAAACCACAAGCACAATTATTGCATTTTTACTTCACAAACAACTTTCTAAAAGAGTACTTGAGTGGACAACTGTATGACAAAAAAGTTATTTGATTTTGGTTGATTGATTTAACTGTAATGTTGTAAAGAAAATAGCAGCCAGCCATATTGCCTGAATAGACTGGTATTAATTTGAATGTACTTGAAGTGTGCACTGCAGTTTGGAGCTGTATTAGCTACAAAAACAGAAATATCTAATCATTGTGTATCAGCAGAAAAAACCTGCAAGGGGGTTGGGGGCCCCACAAAGTCTTTGAGTGGGCCTAACTATATGTCACTTTTTACATCTTTCTCTATATCTTTCTTTATTTTCATATATTTCTTTTTTTTTTTGTCTTTTTGGCCCTCAGTCCATCACAGGCACTGCATTTTGGTCCCCCAAGACAAAAAGTTTGAGTCCCCTTGGATTAGACTCAGTATGAGCTGAAAATTCATATTAAAGGATTTGGATTAGATTAGAGGGTAGAGTTATGAGGGAACAGTTAAATTATAATTTAATTCTAAGATGATTTGTGAAGAACAGGTCATTTTATTTATTTAACTAATTCCGAACATTCCATCAACTAAAACTATCCAGCGGACAGTGGATCTGGGATCAGTCTCACTACTGATGAAGGACTGGAGGATGGCAAAACTGACAAGGATCATACAAAGCATATATCCATGTCATATATCCATATCAATTTGTCTGTATAAAATAAACATTAATAGCTGCCATAGTTGAGTTTGTATGTGTTATTGTTAGAATCAAATGGTGTTATTTTTGCTTTGTCGGATTATGCAGTAATCCTGACTGTATTTATGTGTTCATGTGTATATAAACACTTTAGTCTCAGCATTGAACTACTCATGTTAATCAAACTTTTAGTTCATTCAGTTTAAATTTTTTAAGAACTTTTAAAAAGATTTGCTGGCAAGAAATAAATTTTGACTTTGAAAATGTACTTTACGCTGTTGGAAATAAAGCTACAGCGCAGGTACATTTTTTGTTCATCAAGGTACAAACAAGGTTGTTTACCTTAAATAAGTTGTTAAATAATATCCATCGCCTGGTAAACATGAGCAAAACAGCCTGAAAAAACATTCTTCTTTGCTTATTCTTTTGATTTGTCTCACCATGCTGAGCTTTTGTCATTTTCTGCCTCACATTGTGACAGGTGAGCTTAGTATTACACTTCTCTTATGCCCCTTTCAGACATGCACAGTGACCCAGAACTTTTCCAGACATTACCTGGAGCAGCTAAATGTCTGAATCGGTAGTACTGGACATTACCTGGACTTTATCCTGCCAGTCCTTTAGTACAAAGTCCGAATAATGTCCAGGTGAACCCATGTTTGAATAGAGCAGGTAATTTTCCGGGGAATTCACAGTGGACGTGTTGGATCTTCGTGCATGGAGTGTAGCTGCTTCATAGTCTTTTGCTTGTATATTCCTTTCCACACTTTCAATGATATTTCAGATACGTTCAAATACATGTTTTTTCCTATCAATGCGAAAATCATCATGGATGAGCTGGTAGCCTTGTCCGCCATATTTGATGTACTGTAAACAAAGCACTGCGATTTCCACAGCGTACATTTTGCGTCATGCCATGCCCCCTGCACACGATACACAGGCACTGCCTTTCGCCTAAACCACCCGGAACATGTCCTGTAGTAAGAACGTGTCTGACACGGAAAATCTCCAGCTGTACCCAACATGTGTGAAAGGGGAACTCCGAATAATGTTCGGACCTGAGTTTTTGGAAATTTTCCGGAGTTCATATGTGAAAACGGCTTTAGAGGAACTTTTTCTACAATGTTCAGATGAAGTGTTCCCATATGTTTGACTTTTTTGGTTGTGTATAACCCTACAATGTAGTTAACATAGTTAATATCTCACCTTCCATTTTGTAGAGGAAGTTGTAAGTCTTTCCCCAGATCCAGCAAACAATTTCCTCTAAGGCTCTCATAATGGCTTTGTAAGTGTCTGACAAAATAAAATTAAATAAAACAAAAAGTTGACTCCCGATTTCTAATACATTCTGCCTTTAGAACACAATAACTGGTAAAGTCATTGAAAAGCTTCCCACAGCTGAGATTTTTATAGTGAATTACTGTCAGTACAGCTACCAGTAGGCTACTGAAAATGTGTACAACTGTTGCTGTTTTATCAAATTATAGTACTTTACTGTATTACTAAATTGTTATTACGGCACTTGATTATAGTAGACTTCCTGCACACTTGTATTTGTAATATACTGCTCTAATGTGCACTCACTGCTGTCTTGAAGGTCCTTGGTTTTGTTACAATACATGAAGAAAAAGATTTAGGGTAAAATCTAGTCCTAAATCTAGATTCAGGTACAAATGCTTGAATGTTTCTATGTGCTGTTAATAGTAAGTGCTGTTAAAAGAATGATCATTGCACTGCATTAGCAATCATGTACAAAACATGACATCACAGCAGTTACATGCAGTTACACCATTTTTAAAGACCACAAAGCTGATACTAATTGGATTACAACATGACAGGATGGTCTAATTAACTGAAACACCATTGTGATTATAAAAACAAAATATGCAAATAAAATGCAATCGAATGTATAAATCTGTTTCAGGGAAAGGGACATGCAGAGCTAAGACTAGACTTATTTTAGTATAATTAAATCAGCAGAAGAATCTGAGGTGCATTGTTTTAAAAATGCTTCAGTAGAAGAGTTTTACTCACCATCCCAAAAACCCTGCACCGTGAACATGTCAGTGATAGAATTGCATACTTGCAGTGTGTATCCATTTAACTCTTCCTTGGAGATCGTCTTTTCTGATGTCACCACGTTCTCTAGATGAACAGTCATTCTTTCTATTTCATCATGCTTATCTAATGAAAGAGATTTTTTTCAGTATACACACACACACACACACACACACATAAATATATATATAATAAACTCTATAATTATTGGCATCCCTCAAGAAACTGGACAAAAATAAGCATATAAAATACAATACAAATACAAACAAAATTTTTTGGAGAAATCCCTTACCATTTGTCTAACAGAAATCATTCCAACAAAAGTGTTGATTTATTAAAAGAAAAGTGTACTCTTCTTTGTAAAGACTATTTTATATAAAACCAAATAAATTTGCATCTTTGGAGAAAATAAAATCTTTCTTTTTATTGCTCCTGGTTTCCAGGAACTCCATTGTTTTCTGTGACCATTTTCTTTTTCACTGGGTTATAAATACGAGGTTAGACCCAATTAAAATCCCTTTGTTATCCATCAACATGGGTCCATCAACAAAGTAGTAGTCAGTTTAGCCTTTCCTGAAAGCAAACCACACATTTTCTTTGCAACATGTCATTGGAACTACAAATGGAATCGTGTGATGTGGTCAGATGAGACAAAAACTAAAAAGATATCCACTCCAAATATCCACTGCCAAATATGGTGATTGGATCATTGGTGCTTTGGGGCTGTTTTGTTGCTATTGTTCCAGGGGCTGTTGTGAAAATGTATAGTGAATTTCACTAAATATTAGCAGAGTTTAGCCCAAAAATCTGGAGGTCCAAGTGGTGTTATTCTCATCAGGGAAGGCTTCATTACTTTTTCATTTTACTGTAAATAATAGTAAATTGTATAGTTTAAACTGGTGATAAGAGAATAAGTAGTTAGACTATCATGTGTGTGTTGGTAAATACAACCTTTCAGTAGGTCCTTTATGGTTTGGAGGTAAACTGTAGGATCCTCCTTTTTTAACACACAAAGGTTCAGATCCACAAGTGTTAAGAGCAGCAGGCAACCATTCTGCACATCTGGTGTTTGTGGTGTATGACTCTCTTTGGTGCTTTCGCCTTGTCAGGGAAAAAAAGCTTTTGTTTCAACTTTGCACAACACAACCTGATTTTATCCTCTTTAACTAAAACATTTACTCTAGTAAAGGTGGAATAAATGAGAACATAGTTAAACAGAGAGAGGTTCATACCCATAATCAGGTGTTTTAGTTGCTCATAGAGGAACTTAAGGTTCTCTTCCATATCTGCGATGGCACTGCCACACAGGCCTGTACAAATTCCAAACAAATAAAAAAACAGTCAGTAAAATTACAGCACTGAGAAAAGTTGTACATTGACTTAAATATGTTCTTGAACACTCATCACCAATGAGCACACACTTTCCAGCAGACAGTCACAACCCACATTACATAAACCCAGTATAGTTCAAATGTTTTCAGTTCAGTCTTTAATGACTCCTCTGCCAAGCTACAGATACGCAAAAGTTTAGGCACCCCTGGTCTAATCAAGTTTCCTCTACAGAAAAAAAACAATTACTTTTTTTTTCCAAAAGTCCCTGGAGTCCCTGAGAACTTCATAGATTAACAACACTCTATAACTATGACATGACTTGTGACATGGTCTGAAAAAATTGGACAAAATACTTACATGATGCAGTTTTAAGCAAATGTTAAGAAAGTATGCACCTTGTTACTGAATGTTTATTTTGATGTACCAGTTGCTTAAAGGCAATGTAAATAAAAGTTTTCATTTTACAGTAAAATATGTACAAGTGCCTTGGTGCAAAGTGGACTTTTAGTATTGGTAAATCCAAATTTATTACCAAGAGCACCTCATTGACTCACCGAGCATGCCAATATGTCATTCACAAGAATTTTGATTTTGATGATCTGTTGAAGTTCAGTACTTTCTTAACGATAAGTGCAGTGCTTTTCAACTCCAAAGGGCTGTTTCACAGTGCCTCACGTACATTCAGTCACATTACAATTGAAATATTCAGTCATGACAGTCATTCAGTCATGAGAGTCAGATGGCAAACTAGTTAGAAATACTTGTTTAATCTGCATGATGAATATTTAATAAGATAAGCAGGACTGGAAGAAGATGATTGAGGATTCAAGATTTGTGGATGAAATTTTGGTAGAACGTTACACATTGGTAATAAGTGAGTAATAATATGGTAACATTTTAGTGTTGTACTTATCTGAAACTTACCTGCAGGTTTTCTAGTTTTCACAAGTTAATAAGTCAGTAATTGTAGTAGTAATAAAGGAGTAATAAACTGGTATATTAATGGTAACTAGTTCCGCTGACTTAAAATGACATGTTAATGTTCTAGTTGTAACTAAATAATAAGTTAGTAATTGTAACAGTAACTTGTTGAGAATGAAATGGTAAATCATGTTACAAACTCAAATTACCTTTAAATAAAATGTTCATTTTCCTTTCGATACAATATAATTTTATGAGTAACAATTACAGTAAAAGTGAGTACTATGAAGAATTACTCAGTCATTGTTTTATTTATGTTTTTTTTTTTTTATTTAGAGAGATAAGGTGTTTAACTCTTATAGCACAATATCTGCACTGGCATTATGCCTGGAACTATATTATATTACGTTGCTGCATTATAATCATCTGTGGTTGTTCTATTACAGGGGTGCACAATTCTGGTCAGTGTCCAGCACAGTTTGGTGATTTACCTGCTCCAACACACCTGATTACACTTATCTGTTAATTGCCAGGTTTAGTGGATATGTTTGAGTGGGGAAACCTCCAAACTGTGCTGGACACCGACCTTCCAGAACCAGAGTTGTGCACCCCTGTTCTAATACTTTAACATGTATAATCAATCATTTTCTTTTGTTGGATAAACACCACAATTGTACAATCAACAATTTGTGATGTCATCAGCCTGTGCCTTTGCAATTCAAATTCTTACCAGTGCATCCTGCTCATGCAGACAGTAACAACAAGTAACTCCACAAATACATTGTTTATGAACTTTTCCATACCGAAATATAATACAATAAAACAAATGTGTACAAAATTTTACTAAAGCTATTTCATCCATTGAAGATACTGTGGATAAACATTCTTGAGTCTCTCATACAGGCTAGTCAGTTGTCTTACCAAGTAGCATTGCTAACAGGCTATCTCGCTAGTTAGGTTATATTTAGTAAATAGTAAAACTAAGAAAAGTGTGATTTTTTAAGGATACGTTTGACAACATTAACAAAAACCTACCAGATCAATGTATGAGCTAACTAAAGCTTGTCTAGTTAGCATGCTAGTAAACATAACAGTGCTTTGCTCAGCATGATAAGCTGCTTATCCTGGGTAGCCTATAGCTGCTGATCCTGGATAGTCAACAGGACACTGTTCATGACTGTATTTCTTCTGGAACCTGCAAGTAATCCTTCTAATGATTGTGTTAATCTGAGATTTAGATCTCGCAAATTAATCATGTTATTCACTGTCTTAATCCTTGATAGCCAGTTAATCCTAATACTGACAGTATTGATCCTGGATTGTCAATGAATGTAGTTCATGACTGTATTGATCCTGGATAGTTAATCCAGTTAATGACTATATTAATTGCAGATAGTCAGTTAACCTAGTTCATGACTGTACTGATCTTGGATAGCCAGTTAATTAAAGACTGCATTGGTTCTGGATAATCACTTAATACAGATCATGACTAAATTGATCCTGGATAGTCATTCAGTCTAGTTCATCACTGCATTGATCCTGGACAGTCAGTAAATCCAGTTTCTGATTGTACCAGTTCATATTGTATTGATCCTGGATAGTCAGTTAATCCATTTAATGACTGTATTAATCTTGGATAATCACTTAATCCAGTTCATGACTTTTGGAAATTCCTTTCCCTCTGTCACACACACACACACACACACACACACACACACACACACACACACTCACACACACACACACACACACACACGCACACACACACACATTTCATTTCCCCTCCAGAGAGAAAGACATCTGGCCCTAAAACAGGCCAAGACGGTGCCACCAATCACCCTGGGTTGAGGGACTAACGGGACCTCACAAATCCCTTGGCAGACACTCTAACAATTTTTAGCATTCTGTTGTTGTCTGGCAAAATGTGAAAGATTAATCTTTAATCAAATGCTGAATCAAAACATTGTCAGAATGTATCCTTGTCAAAGGTGAATTAATACTGAACTCCCTACTCTTGACAGTTATTTTATGATTCTTGAATTGTAACCCAGTTTCATTAATCTAGGTTATTGTGTTGATCTTTGATCATTTGTAACTGTTTTTCTTTTAATTATTTTATTAGAAATACGCAATCCATATGTTCCTTATCATAAGGTTTGCAGCTTGTATGACTATATATATATTTATATATATATATGTACATACTTTAAGCACAGTAGAGATTCTGCCATCATATCTACTTTGATATTGGTGATAACTGGATAATATACCCAGCATTTATTTTATTCTTACTTATCCTGTAAATTTTCACTTTAGCATTATTTATAAATGTTAGTCTTGATTATTCATTTCCTTTCCTTAATAATCATCTTCCTTACAAGTAGCTTTATGTAACCGTACTGTGAAATTAGAACGCTTTTATATGTAGTAATCTGTAAGCTCAATAGTTACTATTGAAACAGTAATGTTTTATATATGAAATTCTTTTAAGTCGTTATGTTTGTGAAGTTGTGTAATATTGCCTCAACGGTGAATTTGAGCAGCCAGCAGACAAAGAAATTGCATATTCATTAGAAATTGAGCACAAAAACCCTTTCCCCACGTTAGCTCCACCCACAAAAGTTATTTCCTTAAAACCAGCAAACTCATGCAGAGCAGAGAGTACAAGTTTGACAGAGAGAGAGAGAGAGACACAACGACCATAACCAAGACATAACAGAAGAAGAAGCCCTCTCTCTCATCTCCAAACATAACACTTTAGTTCTGCAGATCTTAGATTTCATGTCTCAGTTCATTGTGTCTTTGTTCAGTTCATTTTGTTTCATTCACTTGGTAATCTTCAAAAAGTCTTGGTACATGCTAGACTGTGCTTACATGTTGAATAACCACATCTAGCTTTGCTTGTTTTCAAGTTTCGTCGATTCTTTTTTTAAGGTCCTTCCTTAGACTTTAGAACTGATTAGCTTGATGTGTTTTAATGCAGCAAATGCACAATATTTCCTATTTATGGAAAGGCCAGTACGCATATTTTAAATAAGAATGCTTTGGCTGGCACTTTTATAAATTGAATGAAGAGATGTTAAACCTGTGTATGTTTCTGTTATGATATAGAATAAGGTTTATACATATTAGGATGTCAACAAGGTTATTGTTATTATTATATTATTATATAGGAGTTGAAATTAAATAATTAATATGAGCTCAAAGTACAGACTTTCACCTGTATCATTTGAGTTCATATTCATTATTTAACTCAAATGTGCTGTGATAGTTGTGGTGCAGGTAAAATAGGAATAACTTCACTGAAATCCAAATATTTATAGACCTGACTGATAACACTTTCAAAATCTGATTTGATCTTGTACATATATTCATATTTAGTTGAACTGATTATTCACGATCAGTGTGATTATTAATAACTCTCACTGACAATGTCCATGCATAATAAATACTGTTAAGAACTGGATTAAGTAGTTATGTTGAAAAGATTTAACGGTAATTCAGGGCCAGTACTGTTATAGGAGTAACTGGGTATCCAGGATCAACTACATTATGAATTGTATTAACTAGCACATTAACTGCCTTTGCAGGTTCAATACATGAACAGGTCAAAGTAAGTATCTAGGGTCAACAGATGCCATCAGCAGGACTAACCGACTATCTAGAATCAGTAGAAGATCATTACAGTCATTAACTGAGGATGAACATAAACAGATTCAGTTATTATTCAGGTTCAGTACAGTTCATGAGCTGGATTAGCTGACTATTTAGGATCAGTGTAGCCATGAACTGGACTAACAGGCTATCCAGAATAAATACCATCAGTAACAGGATTCACTGGCTGTCCAGGATAACTACTGTCGATAACTGGTTATTCAGGATCAATACAATCATAAACTGAATTAACCTACCTATCCAGGATCGATACAATCATTAACTAGATTAACTGCCTATCCAGGATCAACACAGTCAATAAAGCAACTAACTGGCTTTCCAGGATCAATACCATCAGTAACAGGATTAAATCAGTGGTTTTCCTCGGTGCTAAAGTTCTCAACAAATTCTTGCAAACTCTTAAATGTATTGTTGTTGAACAAGTGTTCTAGTGTAGCGCCTTTGTCTTTCCATGTTTTAAAAACACATGATGACATTAATTCTGAAATTTATTCTGATGAACCATATTGTTTTTGACATGGTGCTTGTTACCTTGTAGGTACAGCATGTCAGTCTCAGGCTGGTCTTTAATCTTCTGTCCATTCTCAAACTGACTTCTCAAACAGGAGGAATCCACAAAGGCTCCAGAGAGAGAATAACCTGACTCATCTGGAGTGATCTCAAACCAGACATCTACAAACAGAAAGTACTCTGTGGGTTTTCTCTTTTACCAAACACACACACACACACACACACACACACAGACACACACACACGTGCACACACACACAGACACACACACACACACACACACACGCACACACACACACACACAGACACACGCACACGTGCACACACACACACACACACAAACACACACATGCACATGCACACACACACACACACACACACACAAACACACACACACAAACACACACATGCACATGCACACACACACACACACACACACGCACACACACACACACACACACACACACAAACACATACACACATGCACACACAATAAATTACCTGCATTCAGTTTGTCATGTTTACACTGTTTGTCAATCAAAGTGTAAATGGGATACGGGTCATTGGTGTAGTTGCCCCTCTGCTGAGTGAGTTTGTGTTCATCAATCTGTGGAATACAGAAAATACAGACTCCTACAGTGGGATCTCAGACCACATGGATTTTTGTATTCTTTTCTATTTTAAAACATTTTTATTAGAAATTACATAATCAGCACAACAATTTGAGTAAGAAAGTAGAAGAGCGGACATTTTTACATTAATTTCAGAATTTATTAATGCTTGGTACGTCCCCCTTTTGCTTTAATGACAGCATGTACTCAAGCTGGCATGAACTCCACAAGTTTGTGCAAAAGCCTCTGAGGAGAAGATCCAATCCACCTGAGAGTCAGTCATCTGATCATGAGGGGATAAGAATAAAAGGGAAGGAATAAGACAGAAAGACGTCCTTGACATACTCAATGTGACAAATTAGGTTCAATTTGAGCAGGGGCGATTAGGGCCTCTGATTGGCCATTTGTTGAGATTTATTTATTCCTTCTACTCAGACTGATAACTGGACTACCCAATGAAATGGAGAAAGGATAATTATTAAGCTGACCTTTTAGGATAATGAAATTTGATTTGTTTTCTGTGAGTGCTGTCACCGTATAATGGCCAATCAAATTACTATGCTCTCTGCAAAACTTCTTTTCTCAGCCCTCCAATCACTGCACAGCAAATGCTGCTATCCACCATCATCTCAAGCTCAGTTTATTATCAGCACTCCAGTATTTGAATCTGAAGCTGCAGTTTTAGCTGAAAGATGGTTAAATGTGAGATTCTATCCCAAACAATGTCGCTTTCTACAGTTGTCATTGTCAGTTTTCTTTGAATTTGGTACTTAAAATGCTCTTTTACTATAAAAGCTGAAATGGGCTTTGTGAAAATGTCAAAGCAAACAACTATCAAAGGTAAGACAAGAATAAACATTTAAAATGCCTGCAGTGACCTCATGCTTTACCTACGATTATTAGGTTTAGGTTTTTAAGTCTTAACTCTAAACTCTTAACTTTAAGTCTTATTGATTTTCCAAGTTAATTCTCCCTACACCACTGGATCAAACTATAGACTATAGCTTGTTGTGGACCACGATGCTGAAGTCAGCTTCCTATTCGCCAACTTCTTATTTAATTTTTCCCATTCCACCCTTAATGGGGCTAGAATCTGGCAAATAAGAAGCTGACTTTAGCCTCGTTGGTGGACCTCAGTTATTTTGGGAATGTTAATGGTTTTACAAAGGAAACTGTACCGCACACTGGTGAAGAAGCATTGTGTGACAGATTGGACAGAATGCAGCTGACTAACATTAGCACATATGAGCTCAGGTTCATTTCCAGTTCAAAACTGGATTCCTATTTGCCAGCTTATTACAATTTTCATGTCCAATTTAAATGGTGCAGCAGTCACAAGCACCAGAATGCAACTGTGGCCCCATTTAAGGTGGAGATTTTGAAAAAGAACCTGGCAGATAAGAAGCTAACTTCAGCTTCATTTAAGTTTGTGCAGTAATGGAAAGATTCTGAATAGCAGTACTGAAAGTTATGCTGTGTGTGACTAGACCCCCATAGGGTCCACGACCACTTGTAGCCACAGGGCCCCCCGAGTAGGTTAAAGTGCCCCTGACAGCGACTTACCATAAGTGCAGAATCTTAAATATTTCTTCTTCATTTTACCTCATTTTAATTTTTTTTTTGTTTTAAATTTTTCATAGTTCTAAAACTGTCTGAACAATACCATGTTTTCAATGTGTCCTCAAACTTCTCTGACAGCTGTATATTTTTGCGTATTATTGTTCGTCTTCTAACATACACTAGTTTTAAAGTGTTATTAAATGCGTACGGCAGAATGTTCACCAAAAGCAGTCTATCACTTTTCATGAATTGAGATCATGACAATTCTGAGAAACAGTTTTGTGCCAATTCTTCAAGAGCTGCCATGAATAGATTTCTGTGTCATGGTCATGAAACCCGTCATTTATAAATTTATAATCTTTTTCTTCTCAACTGTTTTTTGGGAAAAAACAAAAAACAAAACAGTTCAGACATGATATTTTTCTAGACTTTACTACAGGATGTTTGTAATGTTTATTATTTGCATGGCATTAGGGATCTCCATAGAATTCATGGAGACTGAAAAGCAGAGATGTTCTCTGGGATACAGATCGAGTTTTTGGTCTTTAATAGAGAATTTCAATTTAGTCTCGTTGTTAGCTGCTGGCATTTGAGTGTACAAAAGAACCTCTGCTATGGCTTCACATAGCAAGCCTTTCATTATGTCATTTTTTTTTAAAAATTACTGCATGCAGTAAATGCTGTGTTTAAATGAAATAAGCAAAACAGCTGGCTAGTTGATAGTTTGTATAGCAAGGATACTAGCTAGCTAGTGTAATAGCTAATCCAGCTGAAATTTTAGTAAGATGTAAAAGAATGTGAATTGTAATTTACAGAAAATTATGCTGGCTAGCTATTTTGCTAGCAAACATATTCAAGTTGTTTTTCCTCTTTCTTAAAACATCACATTTACTGTAGAGCTTCATTCTGTCCATCAGACTCAAGAGTTTTCTATAACTAAGGCAGTGCCAGCCCTACTTAATAAATGATGAAAGTCTTTGGCTAGGGTGCTGCAACCACCAGGGGGCCCCCAACGATGTCTAGGTTATTACTGTGCCTGTTCTCTAGGATGCTATTCATGCCTCAAAAAAGAGTATATGCACCTGAAGGTAAAAACCAGAAAAGAAAATGGAAAGAGAGAGAGAGAAGTTAAAGATAAAAGTATGTGTTTTTTTTTGGTGTTAACATTATACCATTGTTGTGTGCTGCAAGCTGCTGGAGAATGGCATTGGAGTAATGACCACTCATAACCGGAGCAAAGCAGACAAGCAAAATCACAAGCAAAATATTAATTTACCACATGATTGGTGGTCCTTATTTAATCAGTTTTGTTAATTTGTGTTCTATTTTTTTTTAGAATACATTTAGAATATATAAAGCAAGGTAAAAATTACAGCAGAGTTTTTCCCATGTGCTTTATTTAATTCATACTCTTTCTCACTGTTAATAGTTGGCAGTTTTGTTCAGTATTTTGTTCAGGTTGGCATGCTTCAATAAAAAAATAAAATTATTCAAATGAATACCAAAATGAAGCAAATTCTCAATGTTCTTTTGACTCTAATTGCCTGCTTCACTTCACTACTTCTCACATAATCCCACTGGCCTCTCATCATCTTAGCCAACAATTCGCCATATGTTGATAATAAAACCTTGCAAATTTGACTATGAAGTGAGTAGCTATATGATTTTCAGTCAATAGCATGCATAGAACTTGCCATGGAACGCATGCACAAGTCCAGTACAATACCAAACCTGAGCTTATCACTCAAAAACATGTGCAGTGCTTAGGAGACTGTTTGGTTCAGTCATCCCTCAAAACAGTTCACTAACTCTCTGATAATCACAGCAATTTATCAGTTTACTTAGGCTTTGGAATGAACTTCATGAGCCTTTTTTGAGTTCTTATTCAGAGCATCCTTTACATGCTCTGTGCTCATTTTAAAACAGTTACTTAACAAGCGGTGATGATATTTCTTTTAAAGATTATATACATTTCAAATATAAAAATTTCTGGGCCTCAATAAAATCAGCCACAATTTGGAGCACTAAAGTGAAGAACACCAAATAGAATAATAATTTGATGATTTAAATGTGTTATAGTCTTAATTATGAAATGAAAATGATGTTTGTTACATTAGTAACACAATGAGAGCTCAACAGGCTGCACCAGCGGCAGTGATGTAATTTCACTCCACTGTGTACTTGTACATAGATGGAATGACAATAAAAGCCTCTTGACTTGAACTAGTCAAGTCTTAATCAGTTTAATCAGTTTGTAGTATGATTAGTAGTAAAAATTATCACTTTACAGAGAGGAAAACAAAGCAGTAATTAATTAATAACAATACATCAGTAGATTAATTAAAAGACAGTTAACAGGACTCAGTCATATGTACTGGTGAATTGTAAACACACTTATCGGTTCATTAACAGTGTAATAAGCAGCAGTTATTACACAGTTAATGAGTAATTAAGTTATGAACTAATGAATTATCTGTGCACTCAACTGCTAATTACTAAATAGTTAATCAGTAATCAGTAAATAAGTAAATCTAATACTTAATAAACAGTTAACTGAAATATAATGAGTATGTGAATACCTATTGGCCTATAATTATTAATGAATCTGGTTGCTAATTATATTTACATGGTAAAAAAATGTTTAACTCAAATATTCAACATGATGAACAAAATCAACATTAATTAAAATCTAAAAATTGATTCCAGTCAACTTCAGCTCTGTTCCACTTTTTAAAATGTACATATTACATTTGAAACAGTGTTTCTGAACTTCACTAATATATTTGCAGCACAGGTTTATGCCAGAAGTGAAAACTGAAACTCTTTAATATCACATTATTTTTTGAACCACTGTTTGTGTGGATTTGCATAAAAGTATGAATAGTGTTATAAATGATTCTTACCTCTTTAACCAGGTAAGACACAATCAGTGCTGCCCACACGTCTGTCATGCTGAAGTTGTCTTTTTCTGTAATGTAGTCCACCAGTTTTTGACCCATCTTCAACCAGCTGACACTGCCTTTAGCAAGCCTATGGACGATGTTTTCTTTCAAAGTGTCCAGTTTGGTGGACCAGTTTGGTTCTTTATATAAAGATGCCATACACCTTCAGAGAACAGTCAGACAAAACATGAATTTGGTGTTATTAATATACAAATTTACTAAAAGTCATCAGACTCCACAAGTGAAGGGTGGGGGCAAAAATCGATATGACAAGGAACTAAAAAATGAAGATGTACCATTCGCTTTCAAAACACATCACAGTAAACGAGGGTAAGTTGTGAAATATATGTAATATACAGTTTTATCTGCATGTATGTTCCATGTTCAGGACAGACACAAGATGCTTGATTTAAGTGTTTGTGTTTATTTTAATTGTCCACTTGTCATGTGTGGTGAGCAATGTGTAGGCTGGATGCAAGCATGAGCAAACTTTAATAAACAAAACAAACTAGTAGAAACACTGAGTACAAAATAACAAACCACAAGGCTCTGAATCAAGAAACACATTGCGTAAAACCAAACACAGGGCAGACACATAACCACTACAGTAACACAGTAACGGGTAGACTAGACAACCATGAACTGAAACTAAGGGCTTGATATAGGCTACACCTAGGAGAGGGAAGAGACAGGGACTACAAACAGGTGAGAATCCTAATAGGGAAAGTGGGAAACGGGTGAAGCAATGGAAACAAAACAAAAACAAAAGCACATGGCTAAAAAGCACATGGCCACAACACAGGGGAAGAAACAGGCACAGACAAAGGGACAGAGGAAAATGTGACGCCACTTTTTAGACGTGCTTTTTTTCCAGGTGCCAGTATTTAAATACTGAACTGCAGGTGTTTGTTACTGTTTAAACCAACAGTTCATGACAAAAGCTGTTCTATTTTACAGTTTTACTTGTGTTTGAGATTAAATGTGTATTAATCAATTTATTACTTTTATGACTACTATAAATGGCATCAGCACAAGTATACTATTTGTCTGAGAAACCTGTTTAGAAAACTGCAGAGCAGAGCAAACGGCTTGTCTGTGTTTACACTTCCTGTCAGTCATTTTATAAAACCCTCCCCTGCCCCACATTACTCCACCCACATCTCAGTTTGCCCAGCTCAGAAAACAAGGCAGAATCTGGATAGCAATCTTTAGGGGCTGGTTTTAGTACTGTGGGGGAAAAAAACATGCTGTGCTGCCAAGACAAGACAAGAAATTTGCTAAAACAAGAGTCAACATTGGAAGCGCTTATCAAAGATGAAATTATTACATGCCAAGCAAATTACATTTACAAAAGCCCTGAAGGGTAAGATGGGAAAAATGAGTTTCCCTTCTCCTCCACACATATTGTCCACCAAAGTGTCCTAGACAGCAAAACATATACAAAAAAAGGCTAACACTTTGTATGTTACACCAACTTTGACCAGGAGGGGGCAGCTTTTTTCTTTACCTTTAAAGGATCAGGTGAAAAAAGTTATTTGGTGAACTAGAATAAAGTTATTATTATTATTTTTTTTTTTTTTCTGGACCCCAAAGGCTAAGTCGGAAAAAAAAACAAACATCTGCTGGTCAAAGCTGGTGTAACATATTTTTTTTTCATCTGAACATCTGTAGAAAATCTATAGGGTACTATAGTGGACTCTCCAAATAAATTGAGACCTAATTTTTTTTTTATAATTTACATCAAACAGAGAGTGTCATGATGTACCATAATATGGCAAGACATGACAATATACTCACATAACTGACACATCAAACCGCTGATGCACACCTTCATTTCTCTGCTCTCCTTCTGGGTGAACTTTATGCAAATGAGTTGAGTGATATCCAGTTACATACATGTTGATGTATGGCATGGTAACTGATTGTGTCAGAGCAAGAAACCACAGGGCCAAAGTGCTGAAGGGGTAAGTTCAGAATTCAGAGAGCTCTGCTTAGTTAGTTAGCAAGCTAGCTAAGTTAGCCAGTTTAGTACTCGTAAACTATGGCTACAGATGGCTTGTTTAATGTTAATGTTGTGTCACACACTACAGGTGCATTCCAGTCACCATAGGGAGTGAAAATGTACCTTTGAAAGGGAACTTCAAACTGCACAGGAGCTGCATTCCATTCCACAGAGTCCCTAAGCAGCATCGTTATGTTCTCTAGACACTTATACACGGGATGGTTGGTTATAGGAAAACTGCAGTTGATAAATATATACCTTCATTCAGAATGTCCTGCAGCATCATAATCAAACATGAAGGACACTTTCCTGAAACTTCTGGCAAAGTGATAAACCGCTATTCGCCACTCTTGTGCATTTTAAATTTTCCCTTCCAACATTACTTTTTCACTTCCTATGGCTTATTACGTGCAAAGGCTTATTAGTCAGTAACTACAGGGACTTCAATGCAAACTGGATGAGCTATTCTTAGGTTATAGAAGTGTGTAATAAAACGTTGGTTCTTAGTCATGAGTTACTAGTATAATAAGTAATGATAATAATCACTTTATTTGGAATGACACAAATTGGCAATTAATTACATTAAAAACAGATAATTAACAGGATTAACTCAGTTCTCATGTTACTTAGTTACACAAGCAAACACGTATTAGTTCATTAGCAGTGTAATTACTGGCAGTTAGTACACAGTTAATGAGTAATAAAGCTGTGAACTGAGGACAAACTAAACTATAAGTTAACAGTCTACTCAATTACTAATTACTAAGTACTTAATCAGTAACTAATGCTTAATTAATATATGAATATATACATAATGCATATTTAATTGATTATTAGCATATAATTATCGATTAATTTGCAACCCTTAATGTAAGTTGTTACCATAATGTTCACTCCTTTTTAACAGCTGAGTATCTGTGTGTTCAGGCTAGATTCATCAGAGGTGAATCCAGCATGGAGAAACATTCTAGATGCTAAATGTAGGTCAGCTCATCATGCAGCCAAAGACTGCTTGCTCATAATATTACTTTACATTACTGCGTGGTTGCTTTATCATTAGATTCATAAGTAAACTGTAGCAACAACAGCCTAATTCCATGGCTTAAAATATTAATGTTAATGCACTGAAAAAAGTGATGCTTTTAATTTATTTGATTCAAATGTCGAGACAATTTACAGAAAAAAATGCACAAACTCAATAATGTCTTTCGGTGTACTTTTAGCAATAACTGTCGAGTAAATTCAATGTATTTCTACAGGAGAAAGATATAAACTGCTGTATTTCTTATCCCTTATCCCAACCCACTTAGTAAATCCACTGGGCCCAACTATGGCTGTATGCATGGTTTTAGAAATACTGAGGTCCAAAAACTGAGCTTGCTTGGGGGATCTGGGGGCAAAGTGTATTAAATATAATTTAGTAAAAATATCTGCACCTTTATTTCATCTTTGTCTTTGAGTTTGCATCATTTTGGATTTGAATTTTAGAGATTTCTTTCAAACAGTACGTAAGTGTAAGCAAAATGTGTTTTACACAATAATACTATAGTATGACACTGTAATTATGCTAGATATGTGATGTTAAGTTGAACCTATATTTTCCACTGTCACTAACAAAGAACATATATCTCTGTGGTTTAAATGTGATGAGGTCAGTCAGTTTTTGTTTGTGTTGAACTGCACAAGGACCTAATGCTAATCCTATCCTGGGCACAGTGGACAGTACTTGTTCTTCCTCTCCCATCTCCATCACCTTCTCTATTTCTTTTTCTCTTAGTCTCCTTATTTTGTCCCATATCTCCTCCCTTCTCAAAGCTGAGCTTTGATTGATACAATCTTATCATTTTTGTCTGCGTTAGTGAAGAAGGTAAACAAGGGTCAAATGATATTTACGTGCAAATGTTACCGGCCTCCGCTAGTATAATCCACACAAACTCAATTAAAATAAAGAATTGCAGTTTTCATTGAAATTTCTTCAATGTGACATCGGATTGATGAAATGAATGTTAGCTAGCTTTTAATCATTTTAATCATACACCTCTGTGAGCTGCTAAATTATTAGTTGTGGTAATTATTTTAACCCTGAAAGCACCGTGTGAAAGCAGCATGTTTGTGTATTATGAAATGTTAATATTAGGCTATAAGCCCATTTTGTCTCTTCCCAACAATTCTTCTGACACCTGTTCATTAGCTCTTACAGATACTTGAAAACAAAAATTGATCAGAAAGCACATTCCAATTGTTTTATTTTCGAAGCTTTTTATCATTATTACCTTCCATCAAAACCCCACCTTAAAGTACATAAAGCACATCATAAAGTCTAGATATTTCTGCTTATAAACATACTCTATATGGACAAAACTATTGGGAAATATCTTTTAATCACTGAATATCAAGACATTTTGGACAAATGAAAGCTTCCAACTTTGTGGGAACAGTTTGGGGAAGACTTTTCTGTTCTAGCATGACTGAGCCCCATTGCACAAAGCAAGGTCCATAAAGGCATGGTTAGGTGAGTTTGGTGTGGAAGAACTTGAGTGGCCCTCAAACAGCCCTGACCTCAACCCCATCAAACACCTTTGGGATGAACTAGAATGCGATGTGAACTGAGATTGCGAGCCAGACCCACTTGTCCAACATCATTGTCTGACAAATGCTTTTCTAGATGAATGGGCAAAAAAAAAAATCCCACAAACAAAATTCAAAATCTTGTAGAAAGCTTTCCAGAAGAGTGGAAGCTGTTATAGCCATAAAAGGGGGACCAACTCCATATTAATGCCTATGGATTTAGAATGGGATGTCATAAAAGCTCCTGTAGGTTTAATGTGTAGGTGTCCCAATACTTTTGTCCATATAGTGTACATTTATTTATTGTAAATTTATGGATCTAAATAAGTAATTGAAATATCTAGTATGAGTCAGTACCAGGTAGATCCTGAGACGCCACAGAGGTACTTGATGCAGTCCAACAGTCCCTCTTCTTTCAGCTGACAAACGGATCCAAGTAGTCCAATCATAGCTCTCAAACCACCACCAGAGCCCAGCACTGCGATGTTAGGCATGTCATTCTGCCATCATTTAAAACACTAAGTAATTATGTATAACAATGAAAACAGCATCATATTTTTCTGCAGCATTGTGTTGTAGCATTGTGTTTTTTTACTAAGGGCCAAATGTACTAAAGGTTTACGGTGGTCCTAATGCATTTTGCACACACACAAAAACACAAAATTCTCTTTGTTCATCCACACGAGCACACCTTAGATTTTAGCGGACCTTTCTTAATGGATACACATTTTAGGGGAGGAGGTTATGCAAATTAAAAAATCCTGGAGTGGTTTACTAACGTGAATTAAAGAGAAAAATTGCATGGTTTTTAACATCAAAGAAAAGGATGCGCAATTAATTTGAAAATTGCTGCCACACTAAAGGCATGAGTGAGGATTATAAGCACTACATACCCAAATAACAAGTTGGCCCAATGTTGGTCAGTGACGTTGCTAACATTGGCATAACATTGGCAAACCATGTTGGACCCCAAAAACATTTTGGCCAGTGGGCCTACACTGGCCAGACATTGGCTGGTGATCAGTGTGAAACAGCGGCTTATGATGACTTGATGTTGGCTGAAGTTTAATTTGTATTAGTAAAGTGAGGGGTTGACATGGAGGCATTTTGACTATTACCTTTGATTCCTTAACACCATTATCCAATGCTCTGTAAATGCAGCCAAATGTACACAAATGTCTATATTCTGACTGTAAAATTCTTCATGCAACAGTGACAACATTAGGGACACTGTATCCTAGCTATTTGGGTATCACCACTGTTGGGCAAAAGCCTTGTATCTCCATAACTGTAAGTCTTCAGGAGAAGGGAAAACATTCTTGTTTTTTGTCGACTTTTTCCTCTCATTTTCCTCTCTTTCCATTGCACCTTAAATAGTTTAGCAGTTAGCTGGCAGCAGTGCAAGTGCCAGAATGTAATGTCAGTTTTGTCAGCAACGTCTGCTTCATGTATCCACAGTGGTAAGTGTGTTGGGGACTAACACAAGTAGAAATTTTCCTGTCATCTTGGGTATAAATTTAAATTGACATGAAATGACAAAAAATTTAAAAAGTCAGTTAAAACTAAAGTCTCAAAGTCTGTCGTCCTGACATTAGTATCAAACAGAACAGTGCAGTGTACGAAATTTTATTGTGTAGCATAACTGCCTGTTTCTTTGTTCATATGACAATAAGCTCCCGAACTGAATCAAAACAAGCAGAAAAACAGCCACCGTGTGCGAACAGCCTGCTGTTTTAAAGTCCGTTTATAAACAGCAGCATATTTAACTTCTAGAGCTCATCAAAAAGGGTGCTATTAATTTTAAAATAAAAGGGACAAGGGCTCAAGCTCAATTTGTGTGTGCCAGTGGTCAAATTAGCCAATTTGAGGGTGATATCATTTAATTGTCAGGTCATAGTGACTCAAACACAAACTAATGCCAGCTGCGCTTTTTTTTTGTACTAAATCTGGCCCTAAAGATTATATTTGCAAGAATATGATTTACCTCACTGCAGGATATACCGTGGTGCTTCAGGCACTGTCGAACGGTGTTTGACCTTCTGGCCAAATGCTGCCTCTCAGCTTCACTGAGAGAGTGACCAGTCTTCACCTGAGTGCTACACAGATTACACAGGTGTGGTTTCAGTGGTAGAAACATGTAATTTGAGGAATAAACAGTTTTTTTTTTTTTTTAAAGGGCAAAAATACCTTTCACGGCTTTTGTTCTGGTCCATCTCTGAAAAAATGGGATGAAAAGAAAAAAACGTGAGAAGGAACATTTTGTTAAAACAGTTCTTTAAAGTCAATGTTTAATCAAAGCTACCATATAATAGAGTAATTCTGCAACGCAATTCTGCAACACAAAAAAGAGCAAAATTTTTAAGGAGGCTCGGAGGTTTAGCAAGACTATATTCCACTTGATTTAACATATTTGCCCTGCATCCCTGTGCAACAAACATCTAAACTGCTCAAAATACAATATTCATCTAAATAGAATTTGTAATAATTTAGCTGCTGGGAGAATATTTCCAGTAATTAACATAAATAAAAGCTGCTTAGATGACTGCTACCGGCATAAAATAGCTTAATGAAAAGTACATACCTGCACTTGTAGATACTGAAGTCATTAAGCAAACTTTAAAGTGTGAGGGCTTTATGGAGACTGTGAATTTATAGTGAGTGTACTTGTGGACATGACGTAGGGGAAAAGGAAGTATTTGACACTGGACCGAAGCAGATTGCCACAATAAACAGTGGAATAGATTTATGGTTTTCTTGTGAAATTACTTTGAGATTAATAATTAATTTTCTTACAGTTTACAGACTAGTGTGCATTTATGGGTGTGTGCATGCAGGTGGAGGGTGAATTGGCAGTTAGCAGTGGCAGGTGCCAGAGAAACATATGTCATTGCAATAACACTGTGCCATTAGTGTTGCATCTTATTGCTCATTAGGTTACTACACAGAGTGTGCTTCAACATTTTTGCAGTACTCACTGCAAATCAATCATTTATTAACTATTTACCTTCTTTCTACAAAGCCAGCTAAACCAGGCCATTGAAAAAAAGAACCTATTTCAGCCGTTTAATCTACTCCTCCCTAACATTGGGCCTCATTCACCAACCATTCCTAAGAAGAAAATTCTTCTTAAAATTCACCAGTGTTCTTTAATTTAGGATTTTTTCTTAGGACCTTTCTCAAGAACAACAGAACTAAGCCATCGTTCTGAAATAAACTGAGCTTCATATTCCTGCTAATTTCTAAGTAAGATTGTTGCCTAGACTTTTATCTTTAACAATTTCCAAAGAATGGACCCTCATCCAGCTGCGGGACTGTGTCTGGGAGTGCAGGGCTGAAGTCCATCTATCTGCCTTTCCTATTCACACTGCTTAAATAAGGTGTGATTAGACTGGGTTCCATGGAAGTTTTACCACGTATTTCAATATGAACAATTTCTCAAAGCTTTTTATTTTTTTTTAACATACACCTCCTTGAGGTAAAACAAAGCACAAGCTTGTTTTATGCATAAATCTCCCGATTAAAGATAAAAATATCTAACTACAAAAACTGTTTAATTAATTCAAACTCAGAATTCAAAAAGATTTTTTTCCAAGCGCATTCTGAGCACAATTTGAATCGATAGAAGAAATACAAGCTGATTTCTCATAGCTATTGAGTAATTTTTCAGCTCTGGATCAGTTCAAAATTTCAAAGCCCAGTTAAGAACAGCCAGAATGGAGGCAATGATTCTTAAGGAATTGCACTGCAGCAGAGCTACATGTCTAGTGTGCGTTGTTTAAGTAGGTGCTCTCATTGACTAGCTAACTGCTATCGTCACAGTGTTTATGGATGGATTGGTTTTGGAATACGTCACTGTCCTGTATACATGTTTTCACAGCCTGCCAAGAAAGTTGAGAAAAAAAAAAGAAAAGAAGATTTGTAATTTTTTTTATTTATTTTTATCTTACTATTTGCACAAGAAGGTGCAGTAAACATTAAAAAAAAAGAACAACTAAAGAAAAAATGAGAAACTGAAATCTTAATAATGGTGGGCAGCATTTCATTAATAACACTGGTAGGAAATCATACAGACCAGCTGCAGTGCTCTTGAGTTTGTTTATCACATTGTTCAGTTCCATCAAAGTTACAGGCCGAAACCTGAAAACATTAAGTGCTGGTGAAGGGTCTGGTAGAGGCAGCGAAGTCTCAGGTATTTTGCTAGTTACAGAGTTTGTTACATCAGTTTGATTAGTGATGACTGCATTGTGCGTTTGCGGTTGAAATTCATTAGCATATGCAGTCTGGTTGCAACTGCTTGTGAGTTCATTGGTAACTTCCCATGTGCTCTCTATGTTATTCTGGGCTCTTTGGAATCTATTACTGTAATACTGTTTTGCTTTCTGAGTGGGTGCTGTAGTTTATTCTGTACATTAATGGGGTAGGATTCCTCAAGTAATCTCTATAAAGCCTATGCTTTTTACTGACTGCTCTCTTGTGGGCATTGGTGATCCAGGACTTTTGCTGAGGTTTGCTGAGATGCTTCTTAACAAATGGAAATGACTGATTAATTCCTTGAATAATGATCTCTCTAAATGCAGAGTCGGCACACTGTGCATTCCTTTGTAGTTCCATGTGCAATTTGAAATGTATTCAATGAATTTGTTAATGTTGCTTCTATTGAAGTTTCTGGCAGTAATACTTACTCTAGCCGTGTGTATAGCTGTAGTTGCTATGGAAAAGACTAGAAGATGATCAGAAATGTCAGCATATAGTACACCATTAGTACTAGATACAGCAGTTATGTTGGTGATAATATTATCAGTTTATGTTTTAGTATCTGATGTTATTCTAGTGAGCTGGATTATCAGCGGGAAAATGATGCACATAACTGATTAATAATGTTGTATGAAAGCTGCCAAACAAAATCAACATTAAAATCTCCCATTGTATAGGCAATTTAATTTTTTTTTCAGAATGTTAGTAAAATTGTTTTTGAATGTATGGTTATTCTTTCGTGGAGATCTGTAGATACTATAATAGATAGATAGATAAGCCAGCAGTGCTACAAGATCACGGCAGTCAAGAAAATTGATGTAGTTTTTAAGAAACAGAGACTCCTCCACCAGGTCTGTCAGTCCTGCAGTATGAGATGTGATGACATTCAGGAAAATTAACCCTTTGTAGGTAGGTGGGACCCATTTTCAATGCTTACCAAAATAAAAAATTAAGCGATTTATTATTATTTCAACCTCAGATTCCTTGGCTTTTGCTCATTTTCTGTGAAGAACATATAAAATAGCACATTTTCAGTGACTTCACACTGTTCACCCCCCACACATTTGTATTACACATGTGATGTTGGGTGAACCCGTGGGGAATAAAAGTGTGGAGGTGTTGTGTCCTTCACTCTGTTCTCCTCCTACATGGCCTACTGTTAGCGTGTGTGCGTCTGTGTGTGTATGTGTCTGTATATGTGTGTGTGTGTGTGTGTGTGTGTGTGTGTGTGTGAGGGTGGACAACAATGACAGGCTGCTGACTGGCTACAGCAGCTAAAGGAGAACCTTACACAAGCCTACATTTTGGACATGTAGGCATGTAAACAGAAGTGCCTGTGTAGCGCTATTGGCTAAGCATTTGCTCCTTCATCAGAAAATCATGAGTTCAATCATGAGGGATAGGAGGGAGGGGGGGATAAGGGGGACAGATAGTTAGTTCAGCACCAACATTTCCAGATTACCATCAGACTCTCTGTCCCAGATCTGCGCCTTTTTCTAACAGGAAAACTAATTAACTAAAGGCTTGACTAAACAGGTAAGTTTTTAGCCTAGACTTAAAGATGGAGGCTGTGTCTGAGTCCCGAACACAGACTGGTAGGTTATTCCAAAGCTGGGGGGCTTTGTATGAAAAGGCTCTTCCCTCTGACGTAACTTTATTTATTCTGGGTGCTAATAATGAGCCCGCACCTTGTGATCTAAGTGGGCGTGTCGGTTGATAGTAGGAAATAAGGTCACTGAGGTGCTGAGGAGCAAGGCCATTCAAAGCTTTATATGTCAGTAGAAGAATTTAGTACTCAGTGTGGAATTTAACTGGCAACCAGTTTTGGTGAGAACTCTGGCTGCAGTTGTTAAGGTTTTGGCTGGAACAACCAGAAAGCAGAGCGTTACAGTAATCTAACCTGGATGTGATAAAGGCATGAACTAACGTTTCTGCATCCTGTAGCGACAGTGCATTTCTTAATTTAGCGATGTTACGCAGGTGGAGGAAAACTATTCTATAACCATATTTTTAAAAGGAAAATAGTACAAAGACAACATATCAAATGTTGAAACTGAGAAATTGTATTGTTTTTTGAAAAATATATGCCCATTTTGAATTTGATGCCAATAGCACGTTCCAAAAAAGTTGGGACGGGGGCATGTTTACCACTGTGTTTCATCACCTCTTCTTTTAACAACACTCTGTAAGCCTATTACTTTAGTTTTGAAAGTGCAATGTTTTCTCATTCTTGTTTGATACAGAATCTCAGCTTCTCAACAGTTCTGGATCTCTTTTGTTGTATTTTTTATTTTACAATGTGCCAAATGTTATCAGTGGGTGACAGGTCTGGACTGCAGGTAGGCCAGTTTAGCACCCGGACTCTTTTATTATGGAGCATGGAGAATGAAAGAAAAATACGATAAAGGAGACCCTGAGCTGTTGAGCAGCTGAAATCCTATATGAAGCCAGAATTAGAAAACATTTCAGTTTCAAAACTACAGCAGTCGGTCTCCTCAGTTTTCAAACACTTACAGAGCGTTGTTAAAAGAGGTGATGCAGCACAGTGGTAAACCTGCCCCCGTCCCAACTTTTTTGGAATGTGTTGCTGGCATCAAATTCAAAGTGGGTAAATATTTTTTCAAAAAACAATAACATTTTTCAGTTTCAACATTTCATATGTTGTCTTTGTACTATTTTCATTTAAATATAGGGTTTATGTGAATTGCATATCACTTGGGAATATTATGTTTTATTCATATTTGCTTTGCTATTTTATTTACAAATGATGGGAAGCATTTTGACCTCCATTACTATAAAATAATAATGAGGTGATTAATAATAAGTTATATTAGTTATACTACATGAAGGGATGAAAGAGAAATCGCCAGTTACCAAGAAGCTGTAAATCTATATAGTCTAGCTTTTTACACCTGCCAGTCTGATATGAAGTCATTTATACAACCTTGAGAGTGTTGAGAAATGTTTATTGTCGAGTTATAAAAAGATAAGCAAGACCAGAGGAATACATGATATTTCAGACAGAATTTCATTACCATGCAGCTCTACAGTGCAGACTCAAGTATGGGGTAGAGGTCGTGTGCATATAGTCATATATTTTACCTATGTCTCATTGATCCAAAGATGCTCAGCATGCTTCATGTGGACACTGCATCCTATGCAGAATGCAAATACTTAATAATGTACAGGGGATTTAAAATTTTTATCTTGCCCATTAATAACCCTGTTCTCTTGAATGAGTCTAATAGTCTAAAACACATTTATGCCACACTTGGGAAAGTATTAGGTTTACTCAAGCATGGGAGTGTCTTTTTTTCTGTTTGACTATGTTCTCAGTCAGTCTTTGGCCAGTATGGTCTTCTAGATAAAAAAAAAAAAATAATAAATAAATAAAAACAACGCTCAGAAAAACTGCCCTGAGACTTCAG